TCCGTCTATTCCGTTTATTCTGTCTATTCCGTCTATTCTGATTATTCTGTTTATTCACGCCGTTGATTCCGTTTATTACATTTATTCCGCTGATTCCGTTTATTCTATTTATTCCGTTGATTCCACTCATTCCGGTCAATTTGTTAATTCCGTTCCTTTCACTCATACCGTACATTCCGTTCATTCCAGTTAGTCCTATTAGTTTCATTCATTCCATTCATTCCGCTCAGCCCATTCATTCCGTCTACTTCATTTATTCATTCCGTTGATTCTGTTTATTCCGTTCATTCTGTTGATTTTAGTTGATTCCATTTATTCCATTTATTCACTCCGTTGATTTCGTTTATTTTATTTATTCATACCGTTTATTTCGTTTATTCATTCCGTTGATTTCATCTATTCTGCTAATTCCATTTATTCCGTTCATTTCGTTTATTCCGTCTATTTTGTTTATTAATGTCGTTGTCTCGGTTTATTCCGTTCATTCCGTTGATTTTCGTTGATTCAGTTGGTTCCATTTATTCCCTTTATTTCCTTTAATCATTCCGTTGATTCCGTTTATTCCGTTTCTTCCTTTTATTCCCTTTAATCATTCCGTTGATTAATTCCGTTGATTCTGCTTATTCGGTACATTCCGTTGATTTTAGTTGATTCCATTTATTCCCTTTATTCATTCCGCTGATTCCATTTATTTCGTCCATTGCGTCTATTCCGTTTATTCGGTTTATTCCTCTGACTTCGTTTATTCCCCTTATTCATGCCGTTGATTATCGTTGATTCCATTGATTCCGTTCATTCCGGTCATTCTGTTAATTCCGTTCACTCCGGTCATTTTGTTAATTCCGTTCATTCCATACATTCGGTTCATTCCATTCATTCCGTACATCCCGTTCATTCCGTACATCCCGTTTATTCCGTTGATTCCGTTGATTCCGGTCATTCTGTTAATTCCATTAATTTCATGCATTCCGTTCATCCCGTTCATTCTGTTCATTCCAGTCATTCTGTTAATTCCATTCATTCCCTTCATTTCGTTAATTTCTTTTATTTTCTTTATTCATTCCGTTGATTCGGTTTATTCAGTTAATTCATTCCGTTGATTGTGTTTATTCCTTTCATTCTGGTGATTTTCGGTGATTTCATTGATTCCGTCTATTCCGTTTATTCTTTCCGTCGATTCTGCTTATTCCGTTCATTCCGTTGATGTTCGTTGATTCCGTTTATTCGGTTTATTCATTCCGTTGATTTCGTTTATTCTGCTGATTCCATTTATTCCGTTCATTCCGTTTATTCCGTCAGTTCTGTTTATTCAGGTCGTTGACTCAGTTTATTCCGTTGATTTTCGTTGATTCTATTGATTCAGTTTATTCCCTATATACATTCCGTTTATTCCCATTGATTCCGGTTATTCCGTGTATTCCGTTTATTCTTTCCGTTGATTCTGCTTATTCCGTTCATTTCGTTAATTTTCGTTGATTCCATTTATTCCGTTCATTCATTCCGTTGATTTCGTTTATTATGCTGATTCCATTAATCCCGTTCATTGCGTCTATTCCGTCTATTCTGTTTATTCTGTCTATTCATGCCATTGATTTCGTTTATTCGGTTTATTGCACTGATTCCATTTATTCTCATTCGTTTATTCATTCCGTTAATTATTATCGTTGATTCCGTTCATTTCATTCATTCCGTATATCCCGTTGATTACGTTGACTCCGTTCATTCCATTAATTTCATGCATTCCTTTCATCCCGTTCATTCTGTTCATTCCAATGATTGTGTTAATTCTATTCATTCCGTTCATTTCTTTTATTTTCTTTATTCATTCCATTGATTGTGTTTATTAAAATTTATACTGTTGATTTTCGGTGATTCCATTGATTCCGTCTATTCCGTTGATTATTTCCGTTGATTCTGCTTATTCTGTTCATTCCGTTGATTTTCGTTGATTCCGTTTATTCATTCCGTGGATTTCGTTTATTCTGTGGATTCTATTTATTCCGTTCATTCCGTTTATTCCGTCAATTCTGTTTATTCATGTCGTTGACTCAGTTTATTCCGTTCATTCCGTTGATTTTCATTGATTCCATTGATTCCGTTTATTCCCTTTATTCCCTTTAATCATTCCTTTGATTCCGGTTATTCCGTCTATTCCGTTCATTCTTTCCGTTGATTCTGCTTATTCCGTTCATTCCGTTGATTTTCGTTGATTCCATTTATTCTGTTAATTCATTCCGTTGATTTCGTTTATTATGCTGATTCCACTTATTCCGTTCATTACGTCTATTGTGTTTATTCTGTTTATTCATGCCGTTGATTCCGTTTATTCGGTTTATTGCACTGATTCCATTTATTCCCTTTCGTTTATTCATTCCGTTAATTATTATCGTTGATTTCGTTCATTCCATTCATTCCGTATATCCCGTTTATTCCGTTGATTCCGTTCATTCCGGTCATTCTGTTAATTCCGTTCATCCCGTTCATTCCGTTTATTCCCTACATTCCGTTCATTCCGTTCATTCCCGTCATTCTATTAATTTCCATTCATTCCATTCATTCCGTTCATTCCGTTCATTCCGTTCATTCCGTTCATTACGTTATTTTATTTTATTCCCTTCATTCATTCCGTTGATTCCGTTTATTCATTTCGTTGATTGTGTATATTCCGTCCATTATGTTGATTTCGTTGATTCCATTGATTCCATTGATTCCGTTTATTCCATTTATTCATTCCGTTGATTTCGTTTATTCTGCTGATTCCATTTATTCCGTTCATTCTGTCTATTCCGTCCATTCTTGTTATTCTGTTTATTCATGCCGTTGGTTCCTTTTATTCTACTGACTCCGTTTATTCCGCTTGTTCCGTTCATTCCGATTTGTTAATTCTGTTCATTCCACTTATTCCGTACTTCCCGTTCATTCCGTTCATTACAGCCATTCTGTTAAATCCATTCATTTCATGCATTCCATTCATTCCGTTCATTCCGTTCATTTCTTTTATTCCCTTTATTCCTTCCGCTAATTCCGTTTATTCTATCTATTCCGTTTATTCATTCTGTTGATTGCATTTATTCCGTTCATTCTGTTGAATTTCGTAGATTCCACTGATTCCGTTTATTCCGTTTACTCATTCCGTTGATTTCGTTTAGTCTGGTGATTCCATTTATTCCGTTTATTCTGTCTATTCCGTCTATTCTGGTTATTCTGTTTATTCATACCGTTGATTCCGTTTTTTCCGTTTATGCCGCTGATTCCTTTTATTCTGCTAATTCCGTTGATTCCATTCATCCCAGTCATCTTGTTACTTCCGTTCATTCCATTCATTTCGTACATTCCGTTGATTCCGACTATTCCGTTTATTTATTCCGTTGATTCTGTTTATTCCGTTGATTCCATTAATTCCATTTATTCAGTTAATTTCGTTTATTTTAGTTTATTTATGGTTTTTTTTTTTGGAAAGATAATATGACTAGACAAATTCTGGCTAGTTTTTTACTCACTTTATGATAATCTTAAGACACACGTGAAATTTTAAAATAATGGAGTGGGATAGTTTATCAAATTATCAGTCCAATGGACTACGGACGATAAACCACAAATAGGCAGAGAGAAAAACGGAAAAACACAAAAGTAAAAAGCGATTGAACGACAAGAAAATGGAAAAAGAGAGAGAAAGACAGACAGACTGATAAAACAGACAGCTAACGCTAAAATTTTCATTTTTTTTTTTCTTTATTTTATGAGTTATTTACTAAGCGTTACGTGTATAGTTATTTGAAATTATTTTCAATTATACAGAGTGTTTTTGAGGCGTAACATACAACTAGTTTTTAAAAATGAAACGCTTTAGATGTAGTTTATTTTTGAAATTCTAATGCGACGTTGACATGTTAACCCAGTTTTCTAGAATTTTTAATTCCCGAGCGTAAGCGTTTTGTAATAAAATATGAAAAAAAATCATTTCCTTCAATAATTTCATGACATCAGCTTCATCAAGTTTTTCTCTGAATGTGTGTTAATTTGGAATCTTACGACCCAATTATAAATGAAACATGATTGATTTGGCCAGCAAAATCGCACGATCCCAATCCGATTGACAACCTTGCCTGTCGTGCATTTGATTGTACTCCTGTACGTGTGGTTTATGAACCCGATTGTTTGCCCCTTCGCAAAAAATCAAAACTGTATGAAAACATTTTATGATTCAACTTTGACACTGTATCAATTCTCCATTCAGAAAACGAGAAACCCGGAACAACTTTTTACACCACATAAATATGGAAATATTTTAACGTCAGAGTTATCACACGGAAAATCAATTTTAGGCAACAGTACAGAAAATGAAATTCACATTTTGGCTTTCTTTATAAACAAAATATTACTAAGATATATCTGTATTGTTATTGTTCTCAAACCAGAAGTAAATAATTCGAAAATGTAGTACTTTATCTCGATACCCAATAATTGCAGAATGAATTACTTAACGCAAATTAATAGATATGTAAGCACGTTATTAAATCGCGACAAAAACCCATTTCTTGCATAATTAACAATAAGTTTTTCCTACTACAATTGACCACTTGCAACTATCATGCAACAACCGTTCGTAAACCCCAGATCACCTGTCTTTAATCGAAACCAATTTTCCACGACACGTTACGAAATCTCCTTCCGGATTAGCGCGTTTATTTTTAGATGCATTTTTGCGAATCTATTAATTAATTCATCATGTGAACCATTTAAGCCGGAACCTTTCTAAAATTTTCCTGCAATCATCTTAATTATCCTCCACATGTACTAGATTAATTATCACCGACGTCAAATTTTGACACATTCTAGTGGAAGTGCATATAATTATCAAGTAAACAATTAAAAATAAACGTTCCTCAAATACCTAATAAGTAGATCAACCACCACGTTATCGTGAAAGTAAACGCAACGCGCGCATTATAATTATTTGAAAATTATCCGGACCACACTATTCTTCACGTACTCTTCCATCCAGCACGACCACTAGCGGCTGCATTTTCGAAAAGATCGTGTCCCTATTTATAACGGTTGAAAATGAAGAAGTGGAAAATGAGAGGAGATGCGATCTATCAGCTCTAACTGGACCTCACTCTACTTATCACCAAAACCATCCAATCCAAGAGTATGTGTTGTGGCGAACCGACAAAACGATGTAGTGTGATTCCAAAAAAAGATGCGATTCTTTGTATATTGACAATTCTGACAAGTTATCAAAATGAGAGTTTTGTGTTTAGTGACTATCGTCGTATTTCTGGCAACCGGTGAGTTTTTCTGAAAAAAAAATTAAATCTGTACATGCTCTAGTAAATAAGAGATTGTCAAAATTCGTAAACAACTGTAACTGCACTAATCGAATTGGCGATGGCTAGCGTAAAAACTGCACCATTGCGTCGTAAGCCCTAAATTAGTCGATAATGGCTCGGGCCTTAATTGTGCACCCAGTTACGGCCTAAACCTTTCATTATCTACCGAGACCGATTTTTCCCTCTCGCAATTTATTCCGGCCCGATCTCGCGCTGTACACACAATTTTCCCGGCAATGTAATCACATTTTCCCTTTTTTGAGGGTATTTTCTGAGTTATATACGAGACAAGATTAAATAAACACACCTCACGTATTCGATGTTTGTGCAGCGGAACTTATTACTCAATATTCTTTTGATGGAAAGTTCATCACCGATTATAAGGAATTGTTCATTTCAGATGTCTCGGCCATTTGGAACGCCTTCGATATCGAGTACTGGAGATGTGTCATGAAAAAAACAGATATATGTCCGGATAAGGACATCAAATTTTATTTATACACCCGGTAAGTGAAATTTATATTGCGGTGGATTTAACCGGAGCACAATAAAAGACCGTCCGAATAAAAAAGTGGCGGCGTTTTTACGCCGCAGCTTTATTAAAACACAAATCCTGAAAGATACGAATGTATTTATAAACTTAATGAAATTCATTATTAACCTACATCGGATGCATACATATGTATGAAGAATTCAATTTCTCTATTATTAAACGCGGGTTTTTGTGAGAAAATGCAGCACACGGCGATGAGCACCCGGGAAATTAATTTTTGAGATACATTCCAAACGAAACAAACAAGACATGCAGTTAGTTCTAAGTAAGATTTGTGCGCGCTCCTGGTAAATAAATCCGATTCCAAATGAACGCTGCTCTAAAATTAAGCAGTTCTTTAACTTATTTTGGGTAATATTTGATTATGTTCTTGGAGTTGTGCGAGGCCCGAATTAGTTGTAATATCAAGCAATTTAATAATAAATTATTAAAATTATTATTTACAAAGTACCAAAATGTGTTCGCGAATATATGAAACGAGAACTGTGTAAACTTAATTTGAGTGGAGTTTCGGGTTGTAATTACGTTGACATGAATTCGTTTACTTTGTATATATTAGAATGCGCCTAATTTCGGAGTCGTTGGAAATAATACCCACTTACGTAATAATTAATTTAGAATGTCAGAACCGGTGCACTTGTAGCAAATTTATCCTTAAAATTAAACAGAGCGCGGTATGGCAGTGTCAGCAGAAACAATGGAGGCATCTTTCCACTTTATTACATGCACTTGAAAAAAGTGGTAATTATTTACGTAATTTGCTTGAATTGTCATAAAATAGTGGAACTTATTGAAACAAAAATAAGCAGAAAAGAAAAAATTGTACCTATTAATTTAGTTAACCTGAAAAAACTTATTTATAGAGTCTTTGTTAGTAAATTTCGCTAAAAATCAAGCTAATAAAATCGGTAAACGCACTTTGCCAGGTCAAATCAGGTCAGGTAAGGTCAGACGAAATTTTCTAATTCATAATGCCAAAGTTATGACTTCACTGGTATTTTTTAATAACTAATCTCACTGTTGTTTCTCAAGTAATGGCAAAAGGACTTACTCCAACAGGGTTATTTTGATAAGCATTTCATGTTTGCTCTGTGTTTTGTTTTCGTATCTCTTTGTCTTTCTATTTTTTTGTCTATATGTCTTTTCGCATCTTAGTCTCTTTTCCTTTCTGTCAGACCTTCGGTAGTCTTGAGACAAGACTTCGGCAACCTTTCAAATGTTGGTCTTTCTTTTTGTCTTTCTAAGTCTGTCTTCTTATTTCTTTGTCTTTATCCCTCGCCTCTTCGCCTCTTTCTGTCTCGCCGTCTTTCCAATCTTCTTTCTGTTTATTTTTTGTCTGTCCTGTGCCGGTCTTTCTCTTTGTCTTTCTAATTTTTCCTTCTGTTTCTTTGTCTTTATTATTCGCCTCTCCACCTCTTCTCTGCCCCTGTCTTTCACGCTTCGTCCTGCGACATCCCTTTTTTCTATTTTTCTACCTTTCTTTTCCGCTTTTCTACTTTACTACCTTCTGTCAGTCATTTGGTAGTCTTCAGACAAATTTCCATCTAACTTCCTTCTATCTTCCGTCTATCTATTACCTGTCTTTCTCTTCGTCTTTCTAAGTCTATTTTTCTAACTCTTTGGCTTTATTCTCCATCTTTTCACCTCTCCTTACCCTCATCGTCTCTGTTCCACCATTTCTCATTTCTGCATGTCTACCTTTCTGCTTTTCTGCCCTTGTCTCTTTCATTACCTTCCGTCTGTATTTCGTCTATCTGTCTTTCTGTTTTCTGTCTTTTTGAGTCGAACTTTCTATCTCTTTTTTTATCGACCGCTTTTTCATCTCTCCGCCTCTTTTCCGCCCCTATTCTGCCTCACCTTCGTCACACTTCCATTACCTCCTTTCTGTCTCTCTGTCAGTTTTTCGACAGTTTTAAGACAATCTTTAAACAGATTTCTGTCCCTTTCTTCTTCGTCTTCTATCTGTATTTTTCTTTGTCTTTCCAAGTCTTCACTAACTCTCCTCTCCCCCGCCACATTCCTTTTTTCTCTCTGTGTCTTTATTTTCTGTTTTTTTTATTCTATTTCTGCTTTTCTGTTACTTCTGGCTTCCGGTCAGTCATTTAATAGTATTCTGTATGTCCTCTGTCTGTGTAAGTTATCTTTTGCTCTTTGTCTTTCTCCGTCTTTTTCCCGTGTTTCTTGTTTTTCATTTACATTTTTGTCTATTTCTTTTTACCTTTCGAAGAAAATATTTCTATATATTCGTCTTTATCCACTGCTTCTTCACCTTCCCTCCCCCTTTCCGCCTTTCCTCCCCTTGGTCACATCTACACCACACCTTTCTGTCAGTCTTTCGGCAGTTTTAAGACGGTCTTCCATCAGAATTCCGTTTCATTGTCTTTTCGTCTTCTATGTGTCTTCCTCTTTATCTTTCTTCATAGGTCTAAATTTCTGTTTTTTTGTTTTTATTTTCCGCCTCTGCACCTATTCTTCGCCTCTTTACTCTTACCTTCCTTCTTTCCCCCACATACACTTTTTTCTATCTCTCCACCTTTCTTTTTTGCTTTTCTCTTTTTCTGGTACTTCTGGCTTGCTGTCAGTTATTTAAGTCTTAAGACAAATTTTCATCTACCTTCCTCCTGTCTGTCCCCTGCCTATCTTTCTCTTTGGCTTTTTAAGTTATCTTTCTATTTCTTTGTCTTTATCCTCTGATTTTCCGCTTCTGCTCAACCTCACCGTTTCCACTCCAACATTTCTCTTTTCTGCTTCTTTGCCTTTCTGATTTTCTGTCTCGTTGTGTTTCACATTTTTTTTTTTGCTTTTCTGCACTCATTTGGGAGTCTTAAGACAGACTTCCACTTACCTTCCATCAGTGTTTCGTCTGTCTGTCTTTCTATTTTCCATCTACCTTTCTGTCTATCTTTCTCTTTGATTTTTTGAGTCAGTCTTGCTATCTTTTCGTCTTTATCCATCGCATTTTTACCTACCTTTCCCCTTTTCGTCTCTCCTCTACTGCACTTTTGTCTCACTTCCACGTCCTCTCTATCTTTCTATCAGTCTTTCGGCAGTTTTAAGACAATCTCCTGACAAATTTCCGTCTATTTGTCTTTCTCTTTATCTTTCTAAGTCTAAATTTCTCCTCTTTGATTTTATCTTTCACCTTTTCACCTTTCCATCTGTCCGTCGTCCCTCTGCCTCTCACCGTCCTCTCTTCCACATCCATTGTTTCTATTTCTCTATCTTTCTTTTCCGATTTTTGTTACTTCTGGCTCTCTATGAATCATTTAGTAGTCTTAAGACAGATTTCCATCTACCTTTCTTCTGTCTGTTCTCTGCCTCTCATTCTCTTTGTCTTTTTAAGTTAATTTTCTATTTCTCTGTCTTTATCCTCCGGCTTTTCGCATCTATTTGTCCTCACCGTTTCCCCTTTAACATTTCTCTTTTCTGCTTGTTTGCCTTTCTGATTTTCTGCATATCATCTTTCACTAACCTTCCGTCTTACTATTCCTTTCAATCTTTCTATTTGCCTTTCTAAGTTAATCTTTCTATCTTTTGTCTTTATCTACTGCTTCTTCACCTTCCTTTCTCCTTTCTGTCTCTACTCTGTCATACCTCCACCACCACTTCTTTTTTATCTTTTTGTCAGTCTTTTTGGAGTTTTACGACAACGTTTTGACAAATTTCCGTCTGTTTGCCTTTTCGTCTTCTATTTGATTTCTGTCTCTTTGTTTTTATCTTCCACACCTCCAACTCTTCTTCACCTCTCCGCCTGTCACTCTCTTCCCCTCCCCCACATCGCTTTTTTTTACTACTTTTCTACTTTTCGTTTCTGCTTTTCTATTTTTTGTTACTTCTGGCTTTCTGTCAGCGATTTAGTAATCTTAAGAGTCTTGAGACAAATTTCTTTCTACGTTCCTTTTATTTTTCCTTTGCCCATCTTTCTCTTTGTCTTTATAAGTTATCCTTCTATCTCTTTGTGTCTTTATCTTCCGACTTTTCGCTTCTCCTCCTCCTCAACGGTTTCCCTCCAACATTTTTCTTTTCTGCTTCTTTGCCTTTTTGATTTTCTGCCTTGTTGTCTTTCTATTTTCCATCTATCTTTCTGTCTATCTTACTCTTTGACTTTCTGAGTCAGTTTTTCTTTTATCCATCGCATCTTCAACTTCCTTTCCTCTTTTCGTCTCTTCCTTGCCTCACTTTTGTCTCACTTCCACGTCCTCTCTATCTTTCTATCAGTCTTTGGGCAGTTTTATGACAATTTCCTGACAAATTTTCGTCTATTTGCCTTTCGTCTTCTAGTTGTCTTTCTCTTTATCTTTCTAGGTCTAAATTTCTGTTTCTTTGTTTTTATTTTCCACCTTTCCATCTATTCTTCGCCTCTCCGCCCATTACCCCCTTCCCCTCCACATGACTTTTTTCTATTTCTATACCTTTATATTCTGTCAGTAATTTAGTAATCTTAAGACAAATTTCCTTCTACGTTTCTTTTGTCTCTCCATTGCCCCTCTTTCTCTTTGTCTTTATAAGTTGTCTTTCCATTTCTTTGTCTTTATCTTCCGACTTTTCGTCTCTCCTCGCCCTCACCGTTTCCCCTCCAATATTTCTCTTTTCTGTTTCTTTGTTTTTCTGGTTTTCTGCCTTGTTGTCTTTCAGAGTTTCTTTTCTACCTTTCTGCATTCATTTGGGAGTCTTAATTTGGACTTCCACTTACCTTCCATCAGTGTTTCGTCTGTCTGTCTTTCTATTTTCCATCTACTTTTCTGTCTATCTTTCTCTTCGACTTTCTGAGTCAGTCTTTCTAACTTTTCCTCTTTTCGTCTATCTTCTACCTCACTTTTCTCACACTTTCACGTCTTCTCTATCTTTCTGTCAGTCTTTCGGCAGTTTTAAGACAAATTTTCGTCTATTTGTCTTTCACTTTATCTTTCTAAGTCTAAATTTCTCCTCTTTGATTTTATCTTCCACCTTTCCATCTGTCCGTCGGCCCTCTGCCTCTCACCCTCCTCCCTTCCACATCAATTGTTTCTATTCCTCTATCTTTCATCCCCGATTTTTGCTACTTCTGGCTTTCTATGAGTGATCCGGCTTTTCGCCTCTCCTCGTCCTCATCGTTTCCCGTCCAACATTTCTCTTTTCTGCTTCTTTGCCTTTCTGATTTTCTGGCATTGTTGTCTCTTCCCTCCCCTATCTCTTTTTTCTATTTTTCTATTCTTCTACTTTTCGTTTCTGCTTTTCTATTTTTTGCTATTTCTGGCTTTCTGTCAGTTATTTAATGATCTTAAGAGTTTTGAGACAAATTTCCTTCTACATTTCTTTTGTTTTTTCTTTGCCCATCTTTCTCTTTGTCTTTATCTTCCCCTCCAACATTTTTCTTTTCTGCTTCTTTGCATTGCTGATTTTCTGCCTTGTTGTCTTTCAGAGTTTCTTTTTTGCTTTTCTGCATTCATTTGAGTATCTTAAGGCAGACTTCCAATTACCTCCTGTCTGTGTTTCATCTATTTGTCTTTGTATTTTCCATCTACCTTTCAGTCTATCTCTCTCTTTGACTTTCTGAGTCATTTTTTCTATCTCTTCGTCTTTATCCATCGCATTTTCAGCTTTATTTCCTCTTTTCGTCTCTTCTCTGTCTCACTTTTGTCTCACTTCCACGTCCTCTCTATCTTTCTGTCAATCTTTGGGCAGTTTTATGACAATCTTCTGACAAATTTTCGTCTATTTGCCTTTTCGTCTTCTATTTGTCTTTCTCTTTCTCTTTATCTTTCTAAGTCTAAATTTCTGTTTCTTTGTTTTCATTTTCCACCTTTCCATCTATTCTTCGCCTCTCCGCCTATCACCCTCTTCCTCCCCACATGTCTTTTTTCAATTTCTGTACCTTTATTTTCTATTTTTCTAATTTTCTGGTACTTCTGGCTTTCTGTCAGTTATTTAGTAATCGTAACACAAATCTCCTTTTACGTTTCTTTTGTCGGTCCTTTGCCCATCTTTCTCTTTGTTTTTATAAGTTATCTTTCTATCTCTTTGTCTTTATCTTCAGACTTTTCGCCTCTCCTAGCTCTCACAGGTTCCCCTCCAACATTTCTCTTTTCTGTTTCTTTGCCTTTCTGATTTTCTGCCTTGTTGTGTTTCAGATTTTCTTTTATGCTCTTTTGCACTCATTTGGCAGTTTTAAGACAGACTTCCACTTATCTTCCATCAGTGTTTCGTCTGTCTGTCTTCCTATTTTCCATCTACCTTTCTGTCTATCTTTCTCTTTGACTTTCTGAGTCAGTCATTCTATCTCTTCGTCTTTATCGATCGCATCTTCACCTCCTTTTCCTCTTTTGGTCTATCCTCTACCTCACTTTTGTCACATCTCCACATCTTCTCTATCTTTCTGTTAGTCTTTCGTCAGTTTTAAGACAATCTCCTGACAAATTTTCGTCTATTTGCCTTTTCGTCTTGTATTTGTCTTTCTCTTTATCTTTCCAAGTCTAAATTTCTGTTTCTTTGTTTTTATTTTCCACCTTTCCATGTATTCTACGGCTCTCCGCCCATCACCCTCTTCCCCTCCACATGCCTTTTTTTCTTATTTCTGTACCTTATCTGTATTTTTTCTGTTTTTCTAATTTTCTGCTATTTCTGGCTTTCTGTCAGTTATTTAGTAATCGTAACACAAATTTCCTTCTACGTTTCTTTGGTCTCTCTTTGCCCATCTTTCTCTTTGACTTTATAAGTTATCTTTCTATTTCTTTGTCTTTATCTTCCGACTTTTCATCTCTCCTCGCCCTCACCGTTTCCCCTCCAATATTTCTCTTTTCTGCTTCTTTGCCATTCTGGTTTTCTGCCTTGTTGTCTTTCAGAGTTTATTTTCTACCTTTCTGCATTTATTTGGGAGTTTTAAGGTGGACTTCCACTTACCTTCCGTCTGTGTTTCGTCTATCTGTCTTTCTGTTGTCCATTTACCTTTCTATCTATCTTTCTCTTTGACTTTCTTAGTCCATCTTTCTATGTATTTGTTTTTATCATCGCATCTTCACTTCCCCTTCCCCTTCCGTCTCTCCTCTATCTCACCTTTTCACACCTCCAACACGTCTTTTCTCCTGCCAAATTTCCGTCTATTTGCCGTTTCATCTACTATTCGTATTTCTCTTTGTCTAAATTTTCGTTTCTTTGGTTTTAATTTCCACCTCTCTACCTCTTCTTCGCCTCTCCGCCTCTCACCCTTTTCTCCTCCACATCCCTTTCTTATTTCTCTACTTTTTTTTCCGCTTTTCTATTTTTCTGCTACTTCTGGCTTTCTATGTCATTATTTAATAAATCTTAAAACAGATTTCCATTTAACTTTTTTTCTGTTTATCCTTTGTCCATCTTTCTCTTTGTCTTTATCTTTCGACTTTTCGTCTCTCCTCGCCCTCACCGTTTCCCCTCCAATATTTCTCTTTTGTGCTTCTTTGCCTTTCTGGTTTTCTGCCTTGTTGCCTTTCAGAGTTTATTTTCCACCTTTCTGCATTCATTTGGCAGTTTTAAGGTGGACTTCCACTTACCTTCCGTCTGTGTTTCCTCTATTTGTCTTTCTGTTGTCCATTTACCTTTCTATCTATCTTTCTCTTTGACTTTCTTAGTTCATCTTTCTACGTATTTGTTTTTATCGTCGCATCTTCACTTCCCCTTTCCCTTCCGTCTCTCCTCTATCTCACCTTTTCACACCTCCACCACGTATTTTCTCCTGCCAAATTTCCGTCTATTTGCCGTTTCATCTACTATTCGTATTTCGCTTTGTCTAAATTTTCGTTTCTTTGGTTTTAATTTCCACCTCTCTACCTCTTCTTCGCCTCTCCGCCTCTCACCCTTTCCCCCTCCACATCCCTTTCTTATTTCTCTACTTTTTTTCCGCTTTTCTGTTTTTCTGCTATTTCTGGCTTTCTATGTCATTATTTAGTAATCTTAAGACAGATTTCCAATTAACTTTTTTTCTGTTTATCCTTTGTCCATCTTTCTCTTGTCTGCTTCTTTGCCTTTCTGCTTTTCTGCCTTTTGTCTTTTTTTTCTGCTTTTCTGCACTCTTTTGAGAGTCTTAAGGTAGACTTCCACTTACCGTCCGTTTTTTGTCTGCTACCCGTCTTTTTTTATCTTTCTAAGTAGTCTTAAAACAGTTTTCCCATCTACTTTCCATCCCTCTTTCTGTCTTGTCTTTTTTCTCTTTGTCTTTATAGACCTATATTTCTATCTCTATCTTTATCCTTCGCTTCTTCGCCTCGTCTTCATCTTTTATCCGCCTCTCCACCTCTTTTTTCTACCTTTCTGTGTCTCTGACTTTTTTGTGCTTTACTTTTTTATCTTTTTTTTCGACCTTGGTGTAAACACTTCGACAGTTTTGAGACAGTTTTATATTTCTCGGTCTCTCGTTTGTTTTTCTCGATAGACAAGAATAGTTGCTGAAAGAGTTGGACTGATAAAATTTTGGATCTTTCTGTCAGTTTTCCTTTCCTTGCTTATTTTTCGGCCTGTTTTTCTAACTTTTTTCTGTCAATGTTTTATCTGCTTTTTAAGTGTCTGCCTTTTTATTTCATTGTCTTAGACAGATAATCTTTGAAACCGCTAAATCAAGTATTTTGATTTTTCCTGAAGATGATCGTGACCGCACGCAGTAATGTTTCAAATAAAATTTAAGTTTGATGATCAAATCAGAAATTTTGTGACACTGATTTTGAAAATTTTTTAATATCTAAAAGTCAAATTGAACACCATTTCAATAAAATTTAGTTTCTTTTGCTATGAATCATTGTCAAAATGATGTAAATTGTTGTGACAATAAAAATTGTAACAGATTTCGTTGCTTCAAACTGAATTTGAAATCTATTACTAAACCATTTTCTTAATCCACCTTTCCAAATAGCAACAAATTTCTATTCACTCTTTCATTTCGGAAATTACCCCCAATTGACCTCAACACAAATTCCAACCCAAATTGCACCCGTGGCATAAAAATTGCAAATCCTCCGAGTCATACTAACACACTTTTATAACCAATTCAAGACGCGGGCCATCACCGAATATTGACCTTCATTCTTGTCCCCAGAGCGACGGGCACCCGAAGACTGAGAATAGACGTAAGAAACCATCGCTCTCTGGAGTATTCCGGGTACGACCCCATGAAAAAAAACGTTCTAATAATTCACGGTTTCAACGGCACCGAAAGCAAGAGGCCTATGACCATCTTAAGAGACGGTAAGCCGGGGAAAGCACGCCATTTTCCTCAGAAAAAAACGGACTTTCTTTACGCAGACAGCATGACGGAGACAGTTTCGAATACCTATTTATTAACTCTTATTAAATAATATGATGGCTAATTTCGTGAACCCGCAGCTTATTTGTCTCGCAACGATTACAACATCTTCACGGTCGACTGGAGGCCCCTGGCGAAGTTTCCCTGCTACCTCTCGGCCTTATCGAACATGAAGCTGGTGGCCCAGTGCTCGGCTCAGATGTACTCCTTCATAATGGAGAACGGGGGCGACGCCCGGGAGACAACCTGCGTCGGACACTCTCTGGGGGCGCACGTATGCGGAATGATCAGCAATTATCTTGACGTTAAGCAGCACAAAATCGTCGGTCGGTCCGATTTCCCGGGTGGAGAGAAATCGTATTACTAAATTGATTTGCAGGGTTAGATCCGGCAAGACCGCTGATTAATCGCTATGGAGATCGGTATTTTAGATTGACCAAAGATGACGCCCATCAGGTGCAAGTCATTCATACGAACTCGGGGATTCTGGGGGAGGTCAACCAGGTGGGGCACATCGACTTCTGCGTCAACGGGGGGAAGATGCAGCCGGGGTGCAAAGGACACATCTTGCGTAAGTGTGAAGAGGTTTAAATTTTTAGTCAGTAAAGCGAAATTTTCGACTAAAACTTAATTAATAAGAAAAAACTACAGCTCTTAGTAGTTTAGTTCAAGAACTACACGATCTGATGACTTTATTTTTTTTTTATGAATGCTATAATGTTGTAATCACAGACACGCGTGCAAACAAGCAGAATAATCATGAAGCTTGGTAACAAAAAATATCATGATAATGACTTTATTTATCTGATGACTGTGATCCCGTTGAATGAATTTTTTATGATTACTCGTTCAGCAAGTCATTGTCGTGACTATTATTCCAGAATTAAAATTATGGACGGACAAATAAATATTCATACTTTCACAATGAGAAAACAAAGCTCGTCATAAAATTTATTTAGCAAATAAAGCACAGTTTGATTATTATTAATTCAATTAGAATTAATTTTCGACGATTATTTCAAAAAAATTATTAACATGGGTTCAACCGACTGAAACTTGGACATCTGTTCAAATTAACCCTAAAAATGAGTTTATAATTTTCAAAATTTTTCCAAAAAAATAGTTAAAATGGCTTCAATCGACTGAAAATTGGTGTCAAATTGTGTAGATAATTTTCCGCCAACTACAAATTGGAAATCTCCCTCACATCTGTTCGAATAAACGTAAAAAATATGTTTACACTTTTCAGAATTTTTTCAAAAAAATTATTAACATGAGTTCAACCGACTGAAAATTGGTCTTAAATTTTGGATAATTTTCCACTTATTACGAATCCAAAATCACCGTTCCGGTATCTATTGAAATAAACATGACAATTTTGTCTATAATTTTCAAAATTTTTTCCAAAAAAATGTTAAAACGAATTTGATCAACTGAGAATTGGTGTTTAATTGGAAATAATCTTCCGCTAACTAAGAATCCGAAATTGTCGTTACGACATCTGTTCAAATTAACTTGAAAAATGAGTTCATAATTTTCAAAATTTTTCCAAAAAAATAGTTAAAATGGCTTCAGTTGACTGAGAATTGGTGTCAAATTGTGGTTCAACCGACTGAAAATTGGTCTTAAATTATGGATAATATTCCGCTTATTACGAATCCAAAATCACCGCTACAAAATCTGTTCATATAAACATGAAAAGTGAGTTTATAATTTTCAAAATTTTTCCAAAAAAATGGTTAAAATGCGTTCAATCGACTGAAAATTGGTGTCAAATTGTAGACAATCTTCCCCCGATTACTAAATTCGAAATTGCCATCACGACATATATTCAAATAAATGTGAAAAATAAGCTTAGAATTTTCAAAATTTAACAAAAAAGGGAGTAAAATAGGTTCAATCGACTAAGAATTGGAGTCAAATTGTAGACAATCTTCTACTTATGACAAATCCGAAATCTCCATTACGATATTTATTCAAAGAAAACTGAAAAATTAGTTTACAATTTTCAAAATTTTTCCAAAAAGTAGCTAAAATGGGTTCAATCCAGTGAGATTTGGTGTCAATTTAGTAGATAATTTTTCACCAATTACCAAATCCGAAATCGCCATCACGACATATGTTTAAAGAAATGTGAAAAATGAACTAACAATTTTCAAAATTTTTCCAAAAAAAAAGATTAAAATAGGTTCAATCGACTGGGATTTGGAGTCAAATTGTAGACAATCTTCCGCTGACAACAAATACGAAATTTTCATTACGATATCTATTCAAAGAAAAGTGAAAAATGAGTTTATAATTTCCAAAATTTTTTCCAAAAAAATATTAAAACGAGTTTAATCAACTGAAAATTGGTGTTTAATTGGAGATCATCTTTCGGTAACTAAGAATCCGAAATCGCCGTTACGATAACTACTCAAATAAACATGAAAAGTGAGTTTACAAATTTCAAAATTTTTCCAAAAAAATGGTTAAAATGGCTTCAATCGACTGAAAATTCGTGTCAAATTGTGTAGATAATTTTCCGCCAACTACAAATTCGAAATCTCCCTCACTTCTGTTCAAATAAAGGTAAAAAATATGTTTACACTTTTCAGAATTGTTTCAAAAAAATTATTAACATGAGTTTAACCGTTCTTAAATTTTGGATAATTTTTCACTAATTACGAATCCAAAATCTCTGTTACGGTATCTATTGAAATAAACATGAAAATTTTGTCTATAATTTTCTAATTTTTTTCCAAAAAAATGTTAAAACGAATCAGCTGAGAATTGGTGTTACGACATATATTCAAATTAACTTGAAAAATGAGTTTATAATTTTCAAAATTTTTCCAAAAAAATAGTTAAAATAGCTTCAGTTGACTCAGAATTGGTGTCAAATTGTGGTTCGACAGACTGAAAATTGGTCTTAAATTATGGATAATAATCTGCTTATTACGAATCCAAAATCACCGTTACGAATTCTATTCAAATTAACATGAAAACTGAGTCTATATTTTTCAAAATTTTTTCCAAAAAAAAAAATGTTAATGTTAAAATGAGTTTAATCAAGTGAGAATTGGTGTTTAATTGGAGATAATCTTACGGTAACTAGGAATCCGAAATCGCCGTTACGATATCTATTCAAATAAACGTGAAAAGTGAGTTTAAAATTTTCAAAATTTTTCCAAAAAAATGGTTAAAATACGTTCAATCGACTGAAAATTGGTGTCAAATTGTAGACAATCTTCCACCGACTACCAAATCCGAAATTGCCATCACGACATATAATAAAATAAATGTGAAGAATGAGCTTATAATTTTCAAAATTTTTCAAAATAGGATTAAAATGGGTTCAATCGATTGGGATTTGGACTCAAATTGTAAACAATGTTCCGTTTATGACAAATCCGAAATCGAACAAAAGTGAGTTCATAGTTTTCCAAATGTTTTCCAAAAAAATGTTAAAATGAGTTTAATCAACTGAGAATTGGTGTTTAATTGGAGATAATCTTCTGGTAACTACGAATCCGAAATCGTCGTTACGACATCTGTTCAAATTAACGTGAAAAATGAGTTTATAATTTTCAAAATTTTTCCAAAAAAATAGTTGAAATGGCTTCAATCGACTGAGAATTAGTGTCAAATTGTGTAGATAATTTTCCGCCCACTAAAAATTCAAAATTTCCCGCACATCTGTTCAAATAAACGTAAAAAAATATGTTTACACTTTTCAAAACTTTTTCAAAAAAATTATTAAAATGGGTTTAGCCGACTGGAAGTTGGTCTTAAATTATGGATAATCTCTACTTATTACGAACCCAAAATCGCCGTTATGATATCTATTAAAATAAACATGAAAAGTGAGTTTATAATTTTCCAAATTTTTCCAAAAAAATGGTTAAAATGCGTTCAATCGACTGGAAATTGATGTCAAATTGTAGACAATCTTCAACCAATTACTAAACCCGAAATTGCCATAACGACTTATATTCAAATAAATGTGAAAAATAAGCCTACAATTTTCAAAATTTTAAAAAAAGGAGAAAAATGGATTCAATCGACTGGAATTTGGACTCAAATTGTAGACTTCCGCTTACGACGAAACCGAAATCTCCATTACGAAATTTATTCAAAGAAAGGTGAAAAATGAGTGTACAATTTTCAAAATTTTTCCAAAACATAGTTAAAATGGGTTCAATCGACTGGGAATTGCAGTCAAATTGTAGTCAGTCTTCCGCTTATGACCAATCCGAAATCTCCATTACGATATTTATTCGAAGAATACTGAAAAATTAGTTTACACTTTAAGAATTTTTTCCAAAAAAGTAGGTTCAATAGGATTTTTGTTAAATTAGTAGATAATTTTCCACCAATTACAAATCCGAAATCACCATCACAAGCATCTATTTAGATGAACGTGAAAAATGAGTTCAAAATTTTCAAAACTTTTCCAAAAAAAATGGTTAAAATGGCTTCAGTCGACTGAAAATTGGCGTTAAATTATAAATAATCTTTCACTAATTACCAAATCCGAAATCGCCATCACGACATAATATATTCTAATAAATAGGAAAAATAAACTTACAGTTTTCAAAATTTTTCCAAAAAAAGGGTCAAAATCGACTAAAAATTGGAGTGAAATTGTACACAATCTTCCGCTTATGACAAATCCGAAGTCTCCATTACGATATTTATGCAAAGAAAACTGAAAAATTAACTTAAATTTTCAAAAATTTTCCAAAAAAATTGTTTAGATAGGTTCAACAAAATTTGTTGTCGAATTAGTAGATAATTTTCCACAAATTATAATTCCGAAATCACCATCACGGCATCTATTTAAATAAACGTGAAAAATGAGTTCAAAATTCTCAAAATTTTTCAAAAAAATGACTAAAATTGATTTAATCGACCGAAAACTGGTGTTAACTTCTTAATAATCTTCCGCTAGTTATAAATCTGAAATCGCCGTCACGACATACGTTCCAAAAAACACGAAAAGTGAATTCAAAATTTTTCCGAAAAAATAGTTAAAATGGCTTCAGTCGACTGAGAATTGCTGTCAAATTGTGTAGATAATTTCCGCCAACTACACATTCGAAATTTGTTCAAATAAACGTAAATAATATGTGTCCATTTTTCAAAATTTTTTCAAAAAAATTATTATTAAAGTGGGTTTAACCGAATGAAAATTGGTCTTAAATCATGGATAATATTCCGCTTATTACGAATCCAAAGTTACCGTTACGTCATCTATTCAAACAAACATGAAAAGTGAGTTTATAATTATTTTCAAAATGTTTTCCAAAAAAAATGTTACAATGAGTTTAATCAACTGAGAATTGGTGTTTAATTGGAAATAATCTTCCGGCGGCTACGAATCCAAAATTGTTGTTACGATATCTATTCAAATAAGCATGAAAAGGGAGTTTATAATTTTCAAAATTTTTCCAAAAAAATGGTTAAAATGCGTTCAATCGACTGAAAATTGGTGTAAAACTATAGACAATCTTCCACCAATTACTAAATCCTAAATTGCCATCACGACATACGTATATTCAAATAAATGTGAAAAACGAGCTAACAATTTTCAAACTTTAAAAAAAATATATTAAAATGGGTTCAATGGACTAGGAATTGGAGTCAAATTGTAGACAATATTCCGCTTATGACAAATACGAAATCTCGATTACGAGATCTATTAAAAAAAAAGTGAAAAATTAGTGTAAAATTTTCAAAATTTTTATAAAAATGAGTTCAATCGACTGAAAATTAGCGTTAAATTATAGATAAATCTTTCACCAATTACCAAATAAGAAATCGCTATCACGATAAATAAAAAATAAATAGAAAAAATGAGCTTACAATTTTCAAAATGTTTCCAAAAAAAGGATTTAAATGGCTTCAATAAGATTTGTTGTCAAATTAGTAGATAATTTTCCACCAATTACAAATCCGAAATCACCATTACGGCATCTATTCAAATAAACGTGAAAAATTAATTTAAAATTTTCAAAATTTTTCCAAAAAAATAGTTAAAATGGCTTCAATCCACTGAAAATTGGTGTCAAATTATGTAGATAATTATCCGTTAATTACTAATCCGAAATTGCCGTTATGACATCTTTTCAAATAAACGTGAAAAATGTCTTTACAATTTTCAAAATTTTTTCAAAAACATACTTAAATCGACTGAGAAATGGTGTTAAATTATAAACAATTTTCTACCAATTATAAATTCAAAATCGCAGTCACGATATTTATTCAAATAAACACGAAAAGTGAGTTTACAATTTTCAAAAATTTTCCAAAAAATGGTTAAAATTGGCTCAATCGACTGAAAATTGGTCTTAAAATCTGGATAATCTTCCCCTAATTACGAATCCAAAATCGCCGTTACGATATCTATTCAAATAAACATTAAAAGTGAGTTTATAATTTTCAAATTTAAAAAAAAAAAAAATGGTTAAATGAGTTCATCGACTCAGAATTGGTGTCAAATTTTAGGCTTTTTCCACGAATTACCAAATCCGAAATCGGCATCACGACATAATATTCAAATTTTCCCCAAAAAATAGTTGAAATGTGCTCATTGCTCAATCCAATAAGATTAGTTGTAAAATTAGTAGATAATTTTTCACCAATTAGAAATCCGAAATCACTATCACGGAATCTATTCAAATAAACGTAAAAAATGAGTTTTAAATTTTCAAAATTTTTCCAAAAAAATTATTAAAATGAGCTCAATCCAGTGACATTTGGTGTCAAATTAGTAGATAATTTTCTGCCCATTACAAATGCGAAATCATCATCACGGCATCATTCTATTGAAATAAACGTGAAAATGAGTTTAAAATTTCCAAAAATTTTCAAAAAAAAAAGTTAAAAAGGCTTCAATCGATTGAGAGTTGGTTTCAAATTGTCTAGATAATTTTCCGCTAATTACGAGTCCGAAATTGCTGTCACGACATCTAGTTATTCAAATAAACGAGAAAAGTGTATTTACAATTTTCAAAATGTTTCCAAAAAAAAAGGATCAAAAGGGGTTCAATCGACTCAGAATTGAAGTCAAATTGTAGACAATCTTCTACTTATGGCAAATCCGAAATCTCCATTACGATATTTATTCAAAGAAAACTGAAAAACTAGTTTACAGTTTTCAAAATTTTTCCAAAAAATAGTTAAAATGGGTTCAATCCAGTAAAATTTGTTGTCAAATTGTAGATAATCTTCCGCTAACTGTGAATCTGAAATTTCAGTCATGACATTTATTCAAATAAACGTATAACGTGTATTTACAATTGTCAAAATTTTTCCAAAAACGTGATTAAAATGGGTTCAATCGACTGAGAATTGGTGTCAAATTATAAATGATCTTCCGTCAATTACAAATCCGAAATCTCCGTTACGATATCTATGCAAATAAACATGAAAACTGAGTTTATAATTGTCAAAATTTTTCCAAAAAATGATTTAAATTAAGTCAATCGACCGAAAATTGGTGTCAAATTCTTAATAATCTTCCGCTAGTTACAAACCTAAAATATCTGTTCCAATAAATACCAAAATTGAGAACAAAATTTTCACAAAAAAATGGTTAAAATTGATTCAATCGACCGAAAATTGGTGACAAATTATAGACAATCCTCCTCCAATTACAAACCCGAAATCACCATCACGGCATCTATTCAAATAAACGTGAAAAATGAGTTTCGAAATTTCAAAATTTTTCCAAAAAAAGGATTAAAATGGGTTCAATCGACTGGAAATTGGAGTTAAATTGTAGACAATCATCCGCTTACGACAAATCCCAAATCTCCATTACGAGATCTATTCAAAGAAAAGTGAAAAATGAGTTTACAATTTTCAAAATTTAAAAAAAAAATGCCAATTTGAAATCACCGTTACGACACCTATTCAAACAAACGTAAAAAATGGACTAAATGTTTCCACGTAACCCTATAATTTTTTCCCCATATTTATAGGTACGTAAATTCTTCAAATTTCAGAATGACGGGGCACAAATATAACACCACAGTAGGTTTTACTCATTTTCTGTCGAATCATTTCAAGCACGATTTCATTTTAAATCAACTAAACAAAAATAAATCCGTAAAAACTTAGAATTAATATGTGTATAAACAAAATCTCCGAATTTCGAATGACAATGCGAAATTTTTACTTTTAACTAGCCCCAATAATTTTATGTAATTGTGCTTCTTTGCAGCTTTACAAATTTCAAGATTTCTCTCTCTTTGTGTTCACTTTCTTCATTTCACAACTGATACAAGCAATAAGTATTTTGTTTTGTCATTATGTTTATGTCGTCATGGAACCGAAACCGAAAGTCATTGTTATTCCAGTAACCCAAAACCGTGTTTTGAGGTTGATATTGTGAATGATGACGTCAAAGCACATTAAAATTGTCACTTACTTTTGTCTGAATCCGGTCCTGACTCTTGCCTTGAAATAACCAATTTGTTTTTAAATGTTTTTAAATAGATTTTTACTAGAGTGGAATTAAAGCCGGAATTGTCCAACACACACCTGTTGCGTTAACATAAATATAAACAAAAACTCTCAATCAATAAATAAATAAAACACACAACGAAAAATGACATTTAAAATCGCGCCCAAAGCTACCACTCCAAAAACAAAAAACCCCAACTTGTCACTTGTCACAATGAATCGCACCAGCAAAAATTAAGGTTATGAACGATGGCAACCCCGATAAAAGACGTAATTTTGAAAGAAAACGCCCCAACTACGATCCTCTTTGACAAACATGTCGAGTTCCTGAGGGAGTACGGTAAAAATGAAGACAATTTCGAGTTCGGGATGACGGACTACCTCCGAATATCCGGCATGTATTGGGGGCTGACAGCTCTGGAACTCCTCAACCAAACACATTCCACGCCTCAGGACGAAATCGTCACCTATATCAAGAACTGTCAAGACCCCGAAAGCGGCGGAATTGGCGCTTGTCTCGGCCACGACCCCCATTTACTCCACACACTTTCCGCAGTGCAAATCCTCGCAATGTACGACAAACTGGACGCCATCGACGTCGAGGGGGTCATACGATACGTGGTGGCTTTGCAGCAGCCCGACGGGAGTTTCACTGGAGACAAATGGGGCGAAGTGGACACGCGTTTCTCGCTGTGTGCTGTAGCCACGCTGTCTTTGTTGAAGCGGCTCGATGCCATCAACGCAGAGGGGGCCGTTAGGTTCGTGGAGTCGTGTATGAATTTTGACGGGGGGTTCGGGTCGCGGCCCTTGTCTGAGAGTCACGCGGGGTTAGTGTATTGTTGTTTGGGGTTCCTGTCCATCATGAATAGGCTAGATATTGTGAAAAGGGATGTTCTAGCGTGGTGGTTGTGTGAAAGACAGTTGCCTTCAGGGGGCTTGAACGGGCGACCGGAGAAGCTACCCGATGTTTGTTATTCGTGGTGGGTTTTATCGTCGCTGACTTTATTGGGGAGGTTGCACTGGATTAGTGCCGAACAACTCAAGAGGTTTATTCTGGCTTGTCAGGATACGGAAACAGGGGGGTTTGCGGACAGGCCCGGGGATGTTCCAGATCCGTATCACAGCTTATTTGCGCTTGCCGCGTTGTCGTTGCTGGGGCAACATGAAATCAAAACTATTAATCCGACTTATTGCATGCCACAACACGTTATTGATAGAATGCAGCTGTCACCACAAATATTACGTGATTAGCGTCGAAAGTCGCAATTTTCCAGATAATGTAATTTAAATGTTTTGTTAGTCCACGGTTCACATATTTTTTACGTGATGTAATTTTATAATGGTACCTAATAAAGTTTATTCATTGTGAAATGGGTGCAATAAATTGTCTTCAGTGAATGAATAATCAATGTTTTTTTACGTTTAGGTCGCTCAAGGTGTAGCCATTTTCAAGGCGCCTGTTACTACGCTGTGACTGTGAGGAACAAAAACGCCCATCTGGGGCAACCCTGCATGGGCACTTGTCCCAAGCAAGGGTCTGACTGGAATCTCCTACCCGGAAAACCCATTCCAATGGGCGAAGATACGCCCTTTGGGTAAGCTAAACAATGGACCTCTGTGCCGGGTGTCTGGAAATGGCGGATTAACTCTTCAAAAAAATAATAAAAATAATCTTTATGATGTAGATAAGAAAAAAACGTAATTTTATAAAAGTAAAATTGGCAACACTGCACGCACCTAATGCGTGAGTACTTGTTAAGATAAAACTGATTTGGGCAAATGAAATACCCTGTATTAGAAGAGAGGGCGGGTGGGCGGGGCTAGTACCTGCTAAAATAAGACCGATTTTGAACTTGTTTGATCTACAGACTGGAGCACGTTCAGGCCAATGTGGACTCTAATAAGCTTTTAGATTCTATTGGTTTCCAGCCCCACTCCATAGAGAGCATAATTAGCCCCGCCCACCCACCCTGCCTTTATTTCAGTGATTAATTTTATCCGGTCTGAATGAAATTAATGATCTTATACTGAACAGAAATAAAATTAGTCGTTAGAATGAGAAGTCTAGGGGTGGGCGGGGCTATTACTTACTAAGATAAAACTGATTTTGGTAAATGACATACCTTCCAAGAAAATAGAGGGCGGGCGGGCGGGGCTAGTACTTGATAAGATAAGACGATTTTTGGAAAATGACATAGACATTGAAAAATATAAGAAAAATTGAGGAACAGAAAAACTGAAGAATCACAAAATTGAACGAAATATCCAAAAATTGAGACATTAAAAAATTTAAAAATTGAAAAATCGAAAAGTCAAAAAAGGAAAATCGAAAAATCGCAGACTTAAAAAATCGAAAAAGTGAAGAACTGAGAAACTGGAAGATCGAAATTTTGGGAACTCGGGAAATGGGAAAAATCAAAAATAGATGAATTGAAAAATCGGAAAACTAAAAATTCAGAAACGTCAAAATTTGAAAAATTAAAAAATTTTGAGGAACCGAAAAATCTAAAATTTAAAACATTGAAAAATTGAAAAATAGAAACATTGAAAAGCCCAAAAGTTAAAAAAAGAAAAATCGAGAAATCCAAAAATCGAAACATCGAAAAATTCAAAACTGAGACATCGAAAAGTTGAATAATTGAAAATTTAAAAAACTAGAAATTGAGAAGTTCCCAAAACTGAAAATGTTGAAAAAATTGAAAAATTGAAAACTTGAAAAATCGGGAAAACTAAAAATCGAAAAGTCGAAAAACCAAGATGGCAAAATTAAAAAATCGAAAAATTGAAATATTGAACTGAAAATTCGCAGAAATCGCAAAATCTGAAATTTGAAACAATGAAAAATTCAGATATCGAAAAATTGTAAAATCTAGAAATTGAATAAGCGGATAATTGAAAAATCGAAAATTAAAAAAAAATGGAAAATCGAAAATTTAAAAGTAAAAAATTCAAATACATATAGAATTGAAATATAGAAGAACTGAAAGCTCGAGAAATCGAAAAACCTAAAATTTTAAAAACTGAAAAGTTAAAATATTGGAAAAATGAAAAATTGAGAAATCGAAGTATAAAACAGTCAAAAAATTGAAAAATGTAAAGTTTAAAAAACAAAAAATTGAAACTCCAAAAAGTAAAAAAGTCGAGACATCGAAAAATTTAAATGTCAAAATACTAAAAAAATCCCAAAATTTAAATATCGAAAAATTGGAAAATACAAGAAAAATTGAATCGAAAAATTGAACGAAATGTCCAAAAATTGGGAAATTACAAAATCGAAAAATTGACAAAGTGAAAAGTCAAAACAGGAAACTCGGAAATCGAAAAATTGAATAACTGAGGATCGAAACTTTGGGAAATCGGGAAATGGGAAAATAACAAAAAAAAATTGATTATTGAAAATCGGGAAACTGAAAATTCAAAAAGGTCAAAATTTGAAAAATTAAAAAAATACTGAGAAACCGAAAAATCTAAAATTTGTAACATTGAAGAATTAAACTGTCGTAAAATTGAAAAATGGAGAAATCTAAAAATCAAAAAAATAAAAAAATCGGATACCTGAAATATCGAAAAATTGGGAAATCGAAACATCGAAAAGTCCAAACGTTAAAAAAATTGAGAAGTTCCCAAAACTGATAATTTTGAAAAAATAAGAAATCAAAAACTTGAAAAATCGGGAAACCTAAAAATCAAAAAGTCGAAAAACCAAGATGGCAAAATTAAAAAATCGAAAAATTGAAATATTGAAGAACTGAAAAATCGAGAAATTGAAAAATTAAAAATTTAAGACATTAAAATATTCAAATATCGAAAAATTGGAAAACCTAAAAATTAAAAAAATCGAAAATTTGAAAATTCTGAAATCGAAGTATAAAACAGTCGAAAAATTGAAAAATGTAAAGTTTAAAAAACGACAAATCCAAAAAGTAAAAGTCGAGAAATCAAAAAATCCAGAACTCGAAAAATCGAAATACTAAAAAATCCCAAAACTGAAATATCGGAAAACTGAAAAATAGAAGAAAAATTGAAGAATCGAAAAACTGAAAAATTAAAAAATTGAAAAATTGAGAAATCGAAAAGTTAAAAAAAGGAAAATCGAAAAATCGCAAACTTAAAAAATCGAAAAAGTGAAGAACTGAGGAACTGAAAGATCGAAACTTCGGGAACTCGGGAAATTGGAAAATAAAAAAAAAGATTAATTATTGAGAAATCCGGAAACTGAAAATTCAGAAATGTCAAAATTTGAAAAATTAAAAAATATTGAGGAACCGAAAAATCTAAAATTTAAAACATTGAAAAATTCAAATATCATAAAACTGAAAAATGGAGAAATCTAAAAATCAAAAAAATTAAAAATCGGATAACTTAAAAATCGAAAAATTCGAAAATTGAAACATTGAAAAGCCCAAAAGTAAAAAAAATAAAAATCGAGAAATCCAAAAATCGATACATCGAAAAATTTAAAAACTGAGACATCGAAAAATTGAATTATCGAAGAATTAAAAATTTTAAAAATCGAAAATTTAAAAAAATAGAAACTGAGAAGTTTCCAAAATTGATAATTTTGAAAGAATTGAGAAATCGAAAAATTGAAATATTGAAGAACTGAAAACTCGAGGAATCGAAAAAGTTAAAATTTTAAAAACTGAAAAGTTAAAATATCGAAAAATTGAAAAATTGAGAAATCGAAGTATAAAGCAGTCGAAAATTTGAAACTCCAAAATGTAAAAAGTCGAGAAATCGTAAATCCCAGAACCGAAATATCGAAAAATTCAAAAATAGAAGAATCGAAAACTGAAAAATCTCAAAATTGAACGAAATATCCAAAAATGAGGAATTAAAGAACTGAAAAATTGGGAAATCGAGAAATCAAAGAAGCAAAGTCGAAAAATCCTAAACTTAAAAAACCGAGAAACCGAAAAATCAAAAAATTGAAGAACTGAAAGATCGAAACTTTGGGAACTCGAGAAATGGGAAAATCAAAAAAAAGATTCATTAAAAAATATTGAAGAACTGAAAAATCGAAAAATTTAAAATTTAAAACATCGAAAAATTAAAATATCATAAAACTGAAAAATGGACAAATCGGAACACCCAAAAAACAAAATAATAAAAATTTAAAAACTGAAAAGTCACAAAATTGATCGAAATATCCAAAAATTTAGAAATTAAAAAATTGTAAAATCGAAAAGTCAAAAAAGGAAAGTCGAAAAATCGAAAACTTGAAAAATCGAAAAAGTGAAGAATTGAGGAACTGGAAGATGTAACTCGGGAAATGGGAAAATCAAAAATAGATTAACTGAGAAATTGGAAAACTGAAAATTCAGAGAGGTCAAAATTTGAAAAATTAAAAAATATGGAGGAACCGAAAAATTCTAAAATTTTAAACATTGAATAATTAAAACATCAAAAAGTTGAAAAATTGAATTATCGAAGAATAATAAATTAAAACATCGAAATTTTTAAAAACCACAAATTGAGAAGTTCCCAAAACTGAAAATGCGAGAAATCGAAAACTTGAAAAATCGGGAAATCTAAAAATCGAAAAGTAGAAAAACTAAGATGGCAAAATAAAAAAAATCGAAAAATTGAAATATTGAAGAACTCAAAAATTCCAGAAATCGAAAAATCGAAAATTTAAACCATTGAAAAATTCAAATATCGAAAAATTGTAAAACCGAGAAATTCAAAGATGAAAAAATCAAGAAAATAAAAATTGGAAAATCTAAAATTTAAAAATCCAGAAAGTGAACAAAGGGATAATTGAAAAATCCAAACATCAAAAAATTGGAAAATCGAAAAATAAAAAATTGGAAAATCGAAAATACAAAAATTCCGAAAAGTGAAAAATTGAAATACAAACTCAAGAAATCGAAAAACCCAAAATTTTAAAAACTGAAAAGTTAAAATATGGGAAAATTGAGAAATCGAAGTATAAAACAGTCGAAAAATTGAAAATTGTAAAGTTTAAAAAACGAAAAATTGAAACTCCAAAAAGTAAAAAGTCGAGAAATCAAAAAACTGAAAAATCACAAAATTGAACGAAATGTCCAAAAATTGGGAAATTAAAAAGTCGAAAAATTGAGAAATTGAAAGTGGAAAAATCGCGGACTTAAAAAATCGAAAAATTGAAGAACTGAGGAACTGAAAGATCGAAACTTCGGCAACTCGGGAAACGGGAAAATAAAAAAATTTATTAATTATTGAGAAATCGGGAAACTGAAAATTCAGAAAGGTCCAAATTTTAAAAGTAAAAAATATTGAGGAACCGAAAAATCTAAAATTTAAAACATTGAAAAATTAAAAAATCGGATAACTGAAAAATCGACAAATTGGAAAATTGAATAAAAATCGGATAACTGAAAAATCGACAAATTGGAAAATTGAAACACCGAAAAGTCCAAAAGTAAAAAAAAAGAAAAATCGAGAAATCCAAAAATTGAAACATCGAAAAATTTAAAAACTGAGACATCGAAAAATTGAATTATTGAAGAATAAAAAATTTTAAAAATCGAAGAATTAAAATATCGAAAATTAAAAAAAACAAATTGAAAAGTTCCCAAAACTGATAATTTTGAAAAAATTGAGAAATCGAAGACTTGAAAAATCGGGAAATCTAAAAATCGAAAAACCAAGATGGCAAAATTAAATTTTCTAATTTCCCAATTTTTGGATATTCAATTTTGTGAATTTTCAGATTTTCGATTCTTCAATTTTTCTTCTAATTTTCAGTTTTCCAATATTTCAGTTTTGGGATTTTTTTAGTATTTCGATTTTTCGAGTTCTGGATTTTTTGATTTCTCGGCTTTTAACTTTTTGGAGTTTCAATTTGTCGTTTTTTAAACTTTACATTTTTCAATTTTTCGTCTGTTTTATACTTCGATTTCTCAATTTTTCAACTTTTCGATTTCTCGAGTTTCCAGTTGTTCTATATTTCAGTTCTTCAATTTTCGGAATTTTTAAATTTTCGATTTTCAATTTTTTTTATTTTTAGATTTTTCAATTTTTCGATGTTTCGATTTTTCAATTATCCGCTTGTTCAATTTCCCGATTTTTAAATTTTAGATTTTCCAATTTTTCGATTTTTTAAAAATTCGGAAATTGAAAAACTATAAAAGCAAAGTCGAAAAATCGCAAACTTAAAAAAACGAGAAATTGAAAAATCAAAAACCTGGATAATCGAAAAATTGAAGAACTGAGGAACTGAAAAATCGAAACTTTGGGAATCCGAGAAATGGGAAACTCAAAAAATAGATTAATCGGAAAAATGAAAATTCAGAAACGTCAAAATTTGAAAAATAAAAAAAAAAATGAAGAACTGCAAAATCGAAAAATCTAAAATTTAAAACAAAAAAATAAAAATTCGAAAATCTACAATTTAAAAATCGAAAAACTGGATAATTCAAAAATCGAAAACTCGTAAAGTAAAAATCGAAAATCCGACAAATCGGAAAATCGAAACATCGAAAAATTCAAAAACTGAGACATCGAGAAATCGAAAAAACAACCAATCGAGAAATCGAGGAGTCGAAAAGTGGAGAAGTCGAAAAATCGAAAAACAGAAACCGAAATAGGCCAAAATGGAAAAATTAAAAGTTAAAAATTCGGAAAATCCATAAGTCGAAAAATTGAAAGTCAAAGAATCAAAATACTGGAAAATCCCAAAACTGAAAAAATATTCAAAAATTGAGAAATTATAAAAATTATAAAATTGAGAAATTGAAGAACCCAAAAAGCAAAGTCGAAACTTCGAAAAGTCGAGAAATGGGAAAATTAAAAATACATTAATTAAGAAATCGGAAAACTGAAAATTTAGCAACGTCGGAATTTGAAAAATTGAAAATCTGAAAAACTGAATAATAAAAAAAATCGAGAACTCGAAAAATCAAAAATTTGAAACGTTAAACAGTTAAAATATCGCAAAATTGAAAGATCGAGAAATCCAAACTCCAGAATTTAAAAAATTGAAAAATCGGGTAACTGAAAAATCGAAACATCGAAAAACCGAGAAATCCAAAAATGGAAACATCGAAAAATAATTTAAAAACTGAGACATAGAGAAATCGAAAAATTGAAAAGTCGTAAAAAAATAAAATAGAAAAATTGGAAATATCGAAAACTTAAAAATTCGGAAATTTGAAGAATTGAAATATAGAAGAACTAAAACTCGAGAAATAGAAAAATCTAGAATTTTAAAAATTGAAAAATTAAAACAGCGAAAGTTGGAATATTGAAAAATCTAAAGATTAACGAAAAATTGAAAATCCAAAAAGTAAAAAATCCAGGAGTCCAAAAATCGAAATGTGTTTTAAAAAAACCTGAAACTGAAAGAAATATCCAAAAAATTGAGAAATTAAAAAATTGGGAAAGTGAGAAATCAAAAATCCTGAAAAATCGAATCTTTGAAATGGGAAAATAAGAAAAAGATTATTTCAAGAATCGGAAAACTGAAAATTTAGAAACGTCAAAATTTGAAAAATCGAAATATGTACATATTTAAAAATCGTAAAATTGAAGAGGACAAAAATTCAGAAATCGTATCGTGGAAACATCGGAAAATCAAGGAATCGAAAATTTGAAAAATCGAAAGTCTCAAGTTCAAATATTGAAAAATTGAAACATCCAAAGTTCAAAAATCGAGAAATCGAAAAACCATAAAAATATCAATAGCGTTTTTATAAACTACAAGTTCAGGACTGGGCTACTTTTTAACATTTAAATAACATTTATTCGAATTCGAAACGGGTTAGTTCTTCGTAGTGGATGTGTATCAGATCAGCTCTAACGAAAATCGGCTTATAGATAAATCACTTAAGAGCCGATATTGGCCTGAGTGCGCTCTGGTCTGTAGATCAAACAAGTTCTCAGGCGACGAAAAGTAAAATTGGCAACACTGCACGCACCTAATACGTGAATAGAGTGCCAAGCAGAACGAAAGGTGACATGGGCGGAGCTTCAGATGCGCGTCTATCTCTTACCAGTGGCGTAACTGATTTATCATAAAATGTAATTAAAGTAATAAATGCTCTGAGGACCCTATTAAACAAAATTCTTCTTGCTAATAAATACAAAGTGACAAAATAAATAATAATAACTTAAAAAAATAGGAGACACAAAACGTTGGCACTAGACATACGAACACAGTACAAAAGTAAGACAAATTAACGGCGCTACTGCCCTATGTTTCCATCCCCCGAGAGCTATGAATAGACTCGACCAACGTAACTTGCTTTACTGCGCAACCCACGTGATGGGCCTTTTCGTTTTGATTGTCACTCTACCTGATTTTGGCAAATGACATACCCTCTAAGAAAAGAGAGGGTGGGTGGGCGGGGATAGTACCTACTCAGATAACAGTGTTTTTAAGGATTTTTTTATATTCTTCCCAGACTCACCAGTTGATTGGAGTTAATCCGCCATTTTCCAACCACCCGGTATAAAATAATGACTAATGACTCCTTTGTTACAGGGCCAGAGGAATGTACTGCGTTGACACACACTCCACCACAGATTGTCCATTTGAATAGCGTTAGAAAAATATATTAAACCCTTTTATTAGAAAAATATTACAAAGTACAAAAATCAAACAACAAAGCAACAAGTTAAGGAACGTCAAACTATTCGTCTTTTTCAACAATATCGTCAAGGCACTCTCTCAGTTTCTTGAATTTTTTCTTAAATTCGATACCACAGCCTTTGGAAAGCCTGAAGTCAACGAGAATTTTCCCCTGAATCTCTATAACATTAGTCTTAAAAACCAGCTGATTTTTCATTAAATCAACGGTCGAAATTGTTACCTAGAACAGTATTAGAGTAAAAACTCAAACCATACAACACCCACTTACAGCTCCAGTGCTATCCGTCTGCCAGTTATAATGAAAAGTATCTAAAACAGAACACAACACTTCCAAAGTTTTCTCATAGTTAGTTGTAACATAAAATCTCGTCATTCTCTTCACTAGATTATTGAAACTTTCTCTAGTGAGCGGAGTTTCGTTGAAGTGAAGTTGCGAGCTGAGGAGCATATCGTCGTTATGAGTAGGCTGCGAGAAGCACACAACTTCACGATTTGTTCTTAAATCGGTCACCAGTTGGTCAATGGACGTAGGCCGGACCGCTGGAGTGGGTTGAGAGAGCGTCACGTTGGGGTTGGTTCTGTGAATGCGGGTCTCGGCTTCCAACATGGAGTTCCAGCGCTTCACCAAGTGTGGATTAGACCCGTCAACAACGTCAGATTTTTCTAGCAAATAAGAAATGTTAAATAAAAGCTAAATTGTACGATTTTTGAAGTTCACGCTGCTGTACCAACCGTGCTGCTTTGGTAATCTAGCTTTATGAATCCAGAACAATCACAACGCTAAATTACCAAAGTAACAAAATTAGTTCCTCTTGAATAACCCCTAAAAGAGTCATTATGGAACTTACGGTCCTCAAAATTGAATTTCATCCATGGGTGCTTCATGATTTGGTCTATAGTCAGTCTCTTGTTGGGGTCTATGGCAAGGATTTTCCGGATTAGACTTAGGGTAGCGTTTCCTAATTTACTCCAGGGGGTGACTGTGATGTAACTATCATTTTTGTAGTTGATGAATTCTTCACAAGTAGTGTCTGCCCAAGGCAGCTCTCCTGTTAACATCGCGATTAACACTATTCCACAGCTCCAAATATCAGCGGGCTGCGCTTTATACGGTTTTACAAAAATCTCGGGTGCGCAATAAGGCTTAGTACCGCATTTTCGATCCAACAATCTCTCTTTTCCTTTACAACGGAACAACGTAGCCATACCAAAGTCACTAATTTTGAGTGCCCCCTCATCATTGATCAACAAATTCTCGGGTTTTATGTCACGGTGAACGATTCCTAAGTTGTGTAAATACTGTAACCCAGTTAACAACTGTTTCATGTAAGTTTGCGCTAAACAAGATGACATCCCCACGTCGGGCTCAATCATCTGAAAAAGTTCACCACGTGACGCATATTCCAAATAAATATATTCCCTCAGAGGTTCTTTCCTTCTCCCAAAATACTTAATAATGTTGTCATGGTTCAACATTCGATGAATTATCACTTCTTTGTTAATACTGACTTCCACATCGTCGTGTTTGCCGTAATTAATAATCTTGCAAGCTATCTTCTCGTTTGTGTGTTTGTTAACGATTAATTTAACTCTGCAAAATTGAATCAAACTTGCGATTTACGTCGAAATTCTACTTACTCTCCGTACGCCCCTTCGCCGAGGATGCTCTTGTGCATCATCCAGTCGTCTGTGAATTCAATCATTTTGTCTGCTTTTCTATCACAATTAATATAATAGTAGTAATTAAATATTACTGAAAATTGGTAACTAAAATTATAACTGGAATAAATGAAAAGGTTTAGGTTGAATTGGTTCAACAGTTATGTAACATACCTTCAACATTGCTGCACCTAGTCAAAAACAAAAAACTTTAGACATTTAAACCTACTTGATTGTGTCATGGCATTATTGACAACTCGAGACGGACTCAGACATGTCAAATCTCGTTGGCTATGAAGTTTGTGTAATCGATTTCGCGGTTCTGACAGTGGCGCCACCACGGGAGTAGAACGTTTGCGTCTACTGGTGGATAGAGGGCGCAAAATTGTTTTTGAAAGAAATCAAAGGATGTTCCTAAATATGTTTTTCCGACGATCGTTTATTAATGTGAAAATTACGAACAAACTTGGTGTTCAAAACTGATCAATAATGAGTCTCATTATTCAACGATTAAACTAAAACCGATGGATGTGTCAATGTATTGTTGGTTGCATACCAACCTAATAAAGTTTGTTATTTCATTTTTTTTTTAATTAACTCGATATTTAAAAGTTGAATCAACAGGGTGTTTTTTAATCAAAAATGTATTGCGAAACAAATTTAAATAAAATAAACTCGATAGAATTGTCAAAGTATTGTTGGTTGCATACCAAATGTTAAAAATATGATTCAAATTGCTGTTTTTCGACAATTACGATCGTCGAAAAAATATTGTAACCAACACGTCAGGTAATAGCGATTAACGATGATGAATTTTAGTACTGGCTGATAAAGCAAATTTTTCTGTTGGCAATTCTGAAGTATTGACAACAATGTTAACACGTCCTGTTAACTCACTGATATACATGGCAGAGACTTTAATTACAATTATGTTTTAAAGTCTCTGGTGATCTGTTATATACCGGATGTCTGGAAAATGGCGGATTAACTCTCCGCTACGCTCTTAACAATCAACTGGTGAATCTGGGAAAAATATTTTGGAAAATTCTGGCTTGATCTGCTTTTGAGTTAACTTTGGAATTCCTATTTTTTTTTTTTGAAAAATTTAAAAACTATCTTTAGGTTCTAGTTATTCTTGTTTGAAAAGATTTTGACAGTGTATTTTCTTATAATAACTAGTTTAATTAAATTCTTTTGAGGATACGTCATTCGCTAAAATCAGTCTTGTCTTAGCAAGTACTAGCCCCGCCCACCCGCCCTATCTTTTCTTAGAAGATATCTCATTTGCAAAATCACTCTTATCTTAGCAGGTACTAGCCCCGCCCACCCGCCCTCTCTTTTCTTGGAGGGTATCTCATTTGCCAAAATCACTCTTATCTTAGCATGTACTAGACCCGCCCACCCGTCCTCTCTTTTCTTAGAGGCTATCTCATTTGCCAAAATTACTCTTATCTTAGCAGATACTAGCCCCGCCCACCCACCCTCTCTTTTTTTAGAAGGTATGTTATTATCAAAATCAATTTTATCTTAGCAGAAGTGCTGATGATTAACTTTTGTAAAAAACGATCAAGTAGGGCGGTTGGGTGGGAGATTTTATATTCTGGCCTTTTTTTTAATATACGTAGACCCGATTTATAGAAAGCGAAGTTAAAATTAATTCGCGATTAACTTTTAACTGAGGTCCGTTGCTAGGAAACGTGCATGTTTCAACCAATCACGGTCTCATATTCCACATTTTAATTCTCTGTTAAACTAATCGAGGATTAAATATTTAACTCGCTGTTCTATAAACCGGCCCTTAGTGTTTTTATCACAACAAGAAACTTAAAACATGTTTGAAATGGTAAATTTTTGTAGGGAAATATGGTTTTGGCACTTAAGCACCGCCCCTCGGTCTGACGACCAATGAAAAATTCGTCACAATTGAGACAGGGGTGGGTGGGTGGGGCTTATATTTTGCCTCTTTTTTTACTACACGTAGTTTTCTTTTCACAACAAGAAACTCAAAATATGTTGAAAGTGGTAAATTTTTGTAGGGAAATATGGATTTTGCACTTAAGCACCGCCCCTCGGTCTGACAACAAATGAAAAATTCATCACAATTGAGATAGGGGTGGGTGGGTGGAGTTTAATCATTGGTTTCTTTTCCTTAATATATACATAGTTTTGATATTTTAAAAGTATTTTATTGTTGAAAGAAGACTACGTATATTACAAAAAGAAACTCAAAGGATAAGTTTAATTAAATTCCTTAGAGGATACGTTAGTTGACTTATTTGCCAAAATCACTCTTATCTTAGGAGGTACTAGTGCCGCCCACCCGCCCTCTCTTTTCTTAGAAGGTATCTCATTTGTCAAAATCGCTCTTATCCTAGCAAGTACTAGCCCCGCCCACCCGCCCTCTCTTTTCTTATTTGTTTTATTTTAACGGGTACTAGCCCCACCAACCCACTCTCTTTTCTCTTAAAGGGTATCTCATTTACCAGAATCAATTTTATCTTAGCAAGTACTGATGATTAACTTTTACAACGATCAAAATAGGGCGGGTGGGTGGGGGATTTTATATTCTGCCCTTTTTTTTAATATACGTAGTGTTTTTTTCACAACAAGAAACTTAAAACATGTTTACAATTGTAAATTTTTGTATGGAAATATGGTTTTGGCACTTAAGCACCGCCCCTCAGTCTGACAACAAATGAAAAATTCATCACAATTGAAATAGGGGTGGGTGGGTGGGGCTTATATTTTGCCTCTTTTTTAATATACGTAGTCGTCTTGTCACAACAAGAAACTCAAAATATGTTGAAAGTGGTAAATTTTTGTAGGAAAATATGGATTTTGCGCTTAAGCTCTGCCCCTTCCTCTGACAACAAATGAAAAATTCATCACAATTGAGACAGGGGTGGGTGGGTGGGGTTTAATCATTGGTTTCTTTTCCTTAATACATATATAGTTTTGATATTTTAAGTATTTTATTGTTGAAAGAAGACTACGTATATTACAAAAAGAAACTCAAAGGATAGGTTTAATTAAATTCCTTAGAGGATACGTTATTCGACTTATTTGCCAAAATCACTCTTATCTTAGCAAGTACTAGCCCCGCCCACCCGCCCTCTCTTTTCTTAGCAGATATCTCATCTGCCAAAATCACTCTTATCTTAGCAAGTACTAGCCCCGCCCACCCGCCCTCTCTTTTCTTAGCAGATATCTCATCTGCCAAAATCACTCTTATCTTAGCAAGTACTAGCCCCGCCCACCCGCCCTTTCTTTTCTTAGAAGACATCTCATTTGCCAAAAGCACTCTTATCTTAGTAGGTACTATCCCCGCCCACCCGCCCTCTCTTTTCTTAGAAGATATCTCATTTGCCAAAATCACTCTTATCTTAGCAGATACTACCTAAGAAAAATGGGGCGGGTGCTCCACTCACCCGCCCCATTTCAACTGTGAATAATTATTTCATTCGTCGTGCACGGGGGCGGAGCTTAATAACAAAATCCTTATTTCTCTATAAGAAATTACCATGTGAAACATATGTTAAGTATCGTGTTGTCGAAAGAAAACTATAGATATATATTAAGACAAAGAAACCGAAAATTATGCCCCACCCACCCGCCCCTATTTCGACTGTGATAATTTTCTCATTCGTTATTAGATAGGGGATGGAGCTTAACTGTAAAGTCCGTATGTTTGAGGCATCACCGTATTGTTGATAATAAACTATATAAAAAAAATAGGGCATGAATATTCCTTTTTTTTTGGCCACCTAGTTTTTCTGGAATCGCGCTAAACACCTCCTTAACGAAATGGCCAAATTTCCTCCGAAATTTTCAGTTATAGTCCTCACTCTTGAACTAAGACTATCAACATGCCATAGTTTTGGATTCAGTTTGTCTAGATCTATCTCCCAGAATGTTTTATGGATTTTTAAGCAACTTCGTGAAAAGCCAAATTTTTCAATCCAAGATGTTTAAAAGGGTAAATTTTGTAGAGAATGATCGAATTTACAATTATGCTCCGCCTTTCGCTCTGACAACGAATAAAAAACAATCATCACACTGCGATAGGGCCGGTGGGTGGGACTTATATTTTGCGTATTTTTTTCAATATACGTAGTTTTCACAACAAGAAACCAAAATGTGGTTAAAATGGTAAATTTTTGTAGGGAAAGATGGATTTTGCACTTAATCACCGCCCCTCGGTCTGACAACAAATGAAAAATTCCTCACAATTGAAACAGGGGTGGGTAGGTGGGGCTTAATCATTGGATTCTTTTCCTTAATGCAAATATAGTTTTCTTTGAACAACAGGATACTTAAAACATAATTCGGATCTCAAATTCACCATTTACTATTTTAATAAGTATCTTATTGTTGAAAAAAGACTACGTATATTACGAAAAGAAACTCAAACAATAAGCCCCACCCACCCGCCCCATTTCAATTGTGATTAATTATTTTATTCGTCGTGAGTCGGGGGCGGAGCTTAGTAGAAAACTCCTTATTTCTCTACAAGAAATTACCATGTGAAACATGTGGTAAGTATCGTGTTGACGAAATAAAACTATAGATATATATATTAAGAAAAAGAAACCGAAACTTATGCCCCACCCACCCCGATTTCGACTGAGATGAATCTTTTATTCGTTATGAGATATGGGGCGGAGCTTAATTGCAAAGTCCGTATGTTTGAGGCATCATCGTATTGTTGAAAATAGATTATTTAAAAAAAAATAGTAAATGAATATTGTTATTTTTGAACATCTACTTTTTCTGAAACCGCGCTAAACACCTCCTTAACAAAATGGCCAAAATTCCTCCGAAATTTTCAGTTACAGCCTTCCATCTTGGACTAGGACTATCAACATGCCATAGTTTTGGATTCTGTTTGGCTAAATCTATCTCTTTTGCAATTATGCTCCGCCTCTCGCTCTGACAACGAATGAAAAATTTATCACAATTGAGAAAGGGGTGGGTGGGTGGGGCTTAATCATTGGCTTCTCTTTATTAACCTATATAGTTTTCTTTCAACACGAAACTTAATAGTTCAGAGTAATGTACAGTGTGTACAAAGTCTATATTAGTAATAATATAAATAATACTAAATCTTGCAGTGTACTCTTTTATTAGGTACTAAAAAAACAAGTACGGTTTTGTAATCCTGAGAAACTTCTCAGTCCGAAAAAGACCTTACACCCAGCAATTTTCCAAAATTTACTATGAGAAGTGGAGAGACAGAAATGGCCTAGACTTTACTATTGAACGCGTATGTTTTCTGCAACATCTTGTACTCATAGACGATAAACAAAATTGTCAAAAAAAGCCAAAAATTGTTTTTTTTCTGAAAAAACGGGCTATTATTTTGTGGAGTCCGGTCCTGTCTATGTGTAAACACAATTAATGTCGTCATTAGTTATTTAATGAAAGCAAAATCTGACGACATTTAGATCATAATCTGTTTGGAAGTGTCGGATTATGTCAGTTGTCATCATTTTTGAATCCAAATAAATATTTACAACGGCGAACATGGAGGTGTGTCTAATCAAAGGACGTCATCATAATAGGCGCCACCGGCGCCACATTCAAATAGGACGTCATAAATTGTCTAATGATGTCACTAAAGCCTCACTGATACGTTATTTTTTTACTTTTTTGGTAGTAGAAATGATATTATTTAATGCCAGATAGCAAATTTATCAGTCCATTTCCTGGAGGAGCGGTTTTTAAGTAATCAATAAACAAACTTCACGTGCATTTTTTTATCATCTTTATCTTGGATGTCACCTCCATAAATATAAACAAAAGTGTATAAAAATGCACGACTTGTGTGGATTTTTCATTCCACTTACCACCAGCCACCAGCACAGTGCAAGTAGTTTTTTAGGTTAGTTCAACCCAAGTGACTTCTCCCAAAGTTTTATTTTTAACTCGATATGAATCCGGAATAAACCCAAAACGACCCACTCGAGTAAGTTTAATTATAAATACGCTACAAATTCACATTTTTACATAATTATTTTGTAAGGTTATCTTATGGAATAGTTAAAATGGAAGAACCCTCCGAAATAGAACACTGGAAACGCATCTCGGTTCTGGGATCCGGCGCGTTCGGGGTCGTTTCCTTATGGCAACACACAATTTCAGACGAATACCTTGGTACAAACCACCCGCTATTCCTCCACTTCGTATTATAACCCCAGTTTTCAGCTGTGAAGAAGTGCAAGTTCAAAACCAGCAACCACATCAGCGACCGCCAGAGAAGACGATGGGAGAACGAAGTACAAATCATGCAAACCCTCAACTGCGAAAACATTGTCTCATTCAAGCCACTACCGAAACACTTGGAAGCAGTCCTTCTCAAATATAACCCAACGAAACTACCTTTGCTTTCAATGGAGTACTGCGTGAAAGGCAACCTGAGACGCGTCCTCACCCAAGTGAAGAACTTATCGGGGGTGCCAGAGCAAGACGTGAGAATTATTTTGTCCGATATAGCCAGTGCAGTCGCATATTTACACAAATTTAACATAACACACAGAGATATAAAGCCGGAGAATATCGTTTTGCAGAATAGTAGTGGCAGGCCTGGGGATATTATCTACAAGTTGATTGATCTGGGATATGCTAAAGAACTGAATGACTCTGTTGTTAGTTTTGTGGGGACCTTGCACTATCTCGCTCCTGAAATTATGCGGACTGAGAAGTACGACTACAGCGTGGATTATTGGTCTTTGGGGGTTGTCGCTTTTGAGGTGATTTGTGGCGTTCTGCCGTTCCTACCACATTATACGCCAATGCAGAGGTAAATTATTAAAATTTTGTATAGTATAGTATAGAACGACCTTTCTGTCTGTCGTGTGTCTGCCTGTCTGCCGTCCCAGATTTTTATTAAATTTTTTAATTTTTCGAATCTAAATTGGAAAAGAATTTGAAAGTGCTTTGGAACCTGTACTTAGTGTCTTTTCTTATTATAATTTAATTAAATTTCTTAAGAGGATACGTCATTTGCTAAAATTAGTCGTATCTTAGCAGGTACTAGCCCCACCCACCCACCTTCTCTTTGCTTAAAGAATATATGATTTGCCAAAATCAGTCTTATCTTGACAGTTATTAGCCCCACCCACCCTCCCTCTCTTTTTTTGAAGGGTACCTTATTTGCCAAAATCACTCTTATCCTAGGAGGTACTAGTCCCGCCCACCCACCCTCTTTTTTCTTAGAGGATATGTCATCTGCCAAAATCAGTCTTATCGTAATGTCCCCCAGGAATTGATATTGATCATGCCATCTTACAATTTTGTTGAATAAATGCTATTTAAATGTTAAAAAGTAGCACAGTCCTGAACTTGTGGTTTATAAATACGCTATTGAGATTTTTCGGCTTTCCGATTCCTCGATTTTTTTATTTTTCGATTTCTCAATTTTCTGATGTGTCAATGATACGATTTCTCAATTTTTGCCCTCTCCAATTTTACGATTCTAAATATTTCGATTTTTCAAATTTTGACGTTTCTAAATTTTCGGTTTTCCGATTTCAGAAGTATTTTTTTATTCTTCCATTTCTCGACTTCCCAAAGTTTCGATTTTTCACTTCTTTCGATTTTTAATTTTTTTGATTTTTCAATTTTTCGATTTTTTAAGTTTACGATTTTTCGACTTTACTTTTTTAGTTTTTCGGTTTCTCAGTTTTTGAAATTTTTTAATTTCTCAATTTTTTGGATATTGCTTTCAGTTTGGGGATTTTTCAATATTTCGATTTTTAGACTCCTGGATTTTTTGATTTCTCGATATTTTACATTTTGAATTTTCATTTTTATACTTCGATTTCTGAAATTTTCAACTTTTCGATGTTTTAATTTTTGCATTTTTTTAAATACTTCGTTTTTCGATTTCTCAAGTTTTCAGTTTTGTAATTCAATTTTTAAATTTTCGATGACATATCCTCTAAGAAAAGAGAGGGTGGGTGGGCGGGGTTAGTACTGGCTAATCTATGATCAATTTTGGCAAATGACATATCCTCTAAGAAAAGAGAGGGTGGGTAGGCGGGGTTAGTACCTACTAGGATAAGACTGATTTTGGTAAATGAGATACTTCTAAGACAATAGAGGGCGGGTGGGCGGGGTTAGTACTGACTAATTTATGATCGATTTTGGCAAATGACATATCCTCTAAGAAAAGAGAGGGTGGGTGGGCGGGGCTAGTAGCCGCTAAGATAAAAGTTTCGATTTTTCACTCCTTTGATTTTTCAATTTTTCATATTTTTGATTTCTTAATTTTCTGATGTGTCAATGATACGATTTCTCAATTTTTGTCCTCTTCAATTTTACGATTTCTAAATATTTCGATTTTTTAAATTTTGACGTTTCTAAATTTTCAGTTTTCCGATTTCTGAAGTATTTTTTTTCCCATTTCTCGACTTCCCAAAGTTTCGAGTTTTCACTTCTTTAATTTTTCGATTTTTCATTTTTTTGGTTTTTCAATTTTTCGATTTTTTAAGTTTACGATTTTTCGACTTTACTTTTTTAGTTTTTCGGTTTCCCAATTTTCCAATTTTTTAATTTCTCAATGTTTTGGATATTTCTTTCAGTTATGGGATTATTCAATATTTCGATTTTTCGATTTTGAGATTCCTGGATTTTTTGATTTCTCGATTTTTTACATTTTGAATTTTCAATTTTATACTTCGATTTCTCAATTTTTCAACTTTCGATGTTTTGATTTTTCAATTTTTAAAATTCTTCATTTTTCGATTTCTCAAGTTTTCAGTTGTTCTATATTTCAATTTTTAAATTTTCGATTTTTCCAATTTTACCTTTTTAAAATTTTTCGATTTTCGTAGCAGCTACTAGCTAGGATAAGACTGATATTGGCAAATGACATATCCTCTAAGAAAATAAAGGGTGGGTGGGCGGGGCTAGTACCTGCTAGGATAAGACTCATTTTGGTAAATGAGATCCTTCTAAAAAAAGTAGAGGGCGGGTGGGCGGGGTTAGTACTGGTTAATCTATGATCGATTTTGGCAAATGACATATCCTCTAAGAAAAGAGAGGGTGGGTGGGCGGGGCTAGTAGCTGCTAAGATAAAACTGATTTTGGCAAATGACTACTAATTCCGCCCACTTGTCCTCTCTTTTCTTAGAAGGTATCTCATTTGCCAGAATCAGTTTTATCGTAGCAGCTACTAGCCCCGCCCACCCACCCGCTCTTTTTTTAGAGGATATGTATCTGCCAAAATCAGTCTTATCGTAATGTCCCCCAGGAATTGATCATGTCATCTTACAATTTTGTTGAATAAATGTGATTTAAATGTTAAAAAGTAGCACAGTCCTGAACTTGTGGTTTACAAATACGCTATTGAGATTTTTCGGCTTTCCGATTCCTCGATTTTTTTTTATTTTTCGATTTCTCAATTTTCTGATGTGTCAATGATAGGATTTCTCAATTTTTGTCCTCTCCAATTTTACGGTTTCTAAATATTTCGATTTTTCAAATTTTGACATTTCTAAATTTTCAGTTTTCCATTTTCTGAAGTTTTTTTTATTTTCCCATTTCTCGACTTCCCAAAGTTTCGATTTTTCACTTCTTTAATTTTTCAGTTTTTCATTTTTTTGTTTTTTCAATTTTTCGATTTTTTAAGTTTACGATTTTTCGACTTTACTTTTTTAGTTTTTCGGTTTCTCAATTTTCCAATTTTTTAATTTCTCAATTTTTTGGATATATCTTTCAGTTTTGGGATTTTTCAATATTTCGATTTTTAGACTCCTGGATTTTTTGATTTCTCAATTTTCAATTTTATACTTCGACTTCCCAATTTTTCAACTTTTCGATGTTTTAATTTTTCAATTTTTAAAATTCTTCCTTTTTCGATTTCTCAAGTTTTCAGTTCTATATTTCAATTTTTAAATTTTCCGATTTCTGAAGTATTTTTTTTATTTTACCATTTCTCGACTTCCCAAAGTTTCGATTTTTTACTTCTTTAATTTTTCGATTTTTCAAGTTTTTGGTTTTTCAATTTTTCGATTTTTTAAGCTTACGATTTTTTGACTTTGCTTTTTTACTTTTTCGATTTCTCAGTTTTCGAATTTTTTAATTTCTCAATTTTATTGGATATCTTTTAGTTTTGAGATTTTTCAATATTTTGATTTTTCGAATTTCCGATTTTGGACTTCTTAATTTTTCAATTTTTAAAATAGGTTTTTCGATTTTTCGAGTTTTCAAGTCTTCTATATTTCAATTTTCCGAATTTTCCAGTTTTTCTTTTTTCAAGTTTTTCGATTTTTCAGTTTTTTGATTACTCGATTTATCGAATTGATGTTTCGATTGTTCAATTTCTCAATTCATCAATTTTTCAATTTTTATCTTTTCTTCTTGGCTTTCAACTCCTCGATCTCTCGGTGTCTCAGTTTTTGAAATTTTAGATTTTTCGATTATTCAGTTCTTCAGTATTTCTATTTTTCAATTTTTAAAATTTTGACGTTGTTAAGTTTTCAGTTTTCGGATTTCTCAATTAATTTATTATTGATTTTCCCATTTTTTTTTTTTTGGATTTTCGACTTCTGAATTTTCCAATTTTATAATTTCTCAATAATTTGTGGATATTTGTTTCAGTTTTGGGATTTTCCAATATTTTGATTCTTCGACTTCTGGATTTTTCGATTTTTCGATTTTTTTGATTTTTCATTTTTCGATTTTTTAAGTTCACGATTAATGTATATTATATATTATAATATCTTCTAAGAAAAGAGAAGGTGGGTGGGCGGGGCTAGTAGCTGCTAACATAAAACTGATTTTGGCAGATGACTACCTATCCTCTCTTTTCTTAAAAGGTATCTCATTAGCCAAAATCAGTTTTATCTTAGCAGCTACTAGCCCCGCCCACCCGCCCTCTCCTTTCTATGAGGATATGTCATATGCCAAAATCAGTTTTATCGTAGCAGCTACTAGCCCCGCCCACCCACCCTATCGTTTCTTAGAAGATATATCATTTGCCAAAATCAGTTTTATGGTAGCAGCTACTAGTTAGGATAAGACTGATATTGGCAAATGACATCTCCTCTAAGAAAAGAGAGAGTGGGTGGGCGGGGCTAGTACCTCCTAGATGTGACTGATTTTGACAAATGAGATCCTTCTAAGACATTCGACAATCAAAAAATCGAAGAAACGAAAAACCGAGAATTCTAAAAGTCCTGTTAACAGAGTAAACGAAAAATTAAAACAAATAATAAACAAAAAATTTAGAATTCGAATAATCGAGAAATCTAAAAATTGAAAAAAGCAAAATCAAAAAATGGAGAAATCGAGAAGTTGGGAAATCGAAAACTCAAAAAACCTAAAATTTGAAAAATAGAGAAGTCTAAAGAACCGAAAACGAAAAATCAGAAAATCGAGATTTCAGAAAAATTGAAAATTAGAAAAATCAAACAACCGAAAAATCGAACAATCGAAAAATCAAAAATCGAAAAACGAAAAATCGGAAAATCATATAATTGAAAATACGAAAAATTGACATTTTGAAAAACCGAAAAATTAGAGAAACGAGAATTCGAAAAATCGGAAAATGGAAACACCGAGAAATTGAGAATTGAGAATTCGAAAAATCGAACGATTTAAAAAAAGAAAAATTGTGCATTTGAAAAATTGAATATTCAAGAATTTGGAAAAGCGAAAAATAAAAAGAGCAAAAACTCAAAAATCAAAAAATTCTGAATTCGAAAAATCGAAAATTGAAAAGTAGAAAAATTTAACAATCCAATAGCAAAAACGAAAATTTGAGAATTCGAAAAATCAAGAAATTGATAATAAATAAATAAATCGAATAAACAAAACATGGGGAATTCGGAACTTCGAATAACAGAGTAATCCAAAAATTACAATAAAATAAAAAATGAAAAACTGGGAATTCAAAAGATTGGAAAATGGAAACACCAAAAAATCGAGAATTTAGAATACGAAAAACGAAAAATTGAAAATTCGGAAAATCTGAAAATCGACAAATCAAAAATGCAAAAATTTAAAAATGGAAAAACGGGGCATTCAAAAAATTGAAAAATAAAAAAATTGAGAATTTGAAAAACCCAAAAGCGAGAAATCAAAAAATCGAACAAAAGAAAAACGAAAAATTGAGTATTCGAAAAATCAAATAACAGAATAATCGAAACATTAAAACAGAAATAAGAAACAAAAATATTTAGAATTCTTATAATCGAGAATTCGAAAAATTGAAAAATGCAGATTCAAAAAATGGAGAAATTGACAAATCGGAAAACTGAGAAATCGAAAACTCGAGAAATCGATAAAATCGAGATCCCAAAAAATTGATTACGTCATCTCAAAATTTTGCCGAATAAATCCTGTCTAAATTGTACAATATATGATGAGTCTATCTTTGTGATTTATCATTCCATTCATATTTTTTTGGATTTGCTTATACAGGGTGACTCAAAAAAATTAATGAATCTGTCAGTTTATTATTGATCGAATTAAGAACGAGCCACCGCATTTTTTCGAAAGTGTGAGAATACGCTCGTATTTATAACAATAAAATAATGATAAGGTAAAAATTATAATAAAAACATTCAGAATATTTTGTTCAATTGAGGCTTATTAATAATTTTTGTCATATGTTTTGAGGCGATAAACTCATTCAAATCCAACAAATGTCTACGTGACATTCTTCCGATGTATAAACATCAACATTTTGAACACTACGCAAATTGCTCAGATACCACTATTCCAGTTGATAATGTGCTGTAAATATATTTTACAATGTATGCTTGTGATACTAGACCATCAGGCCCCCGAAGTTAAGGGACCCCTTGTGACCTAAATATAACGAAAATAAAATTTATTTGTTTTTATTAATTTGGTTATTACAAAATTACGATAACACGTTCGACGTACCGTTTGTTGACACATTTGATCTCGAGATTCCGGGCGTTCCACTAATTTATGACTTGCAGCCAGGCAGCCACTTGCACAAAGAGCTGCCGCCTGAGCTTTGTTTGCGGATCGTTTCTCATTCTTATTTTGGTTTTTGTATCGTTCAATAAAGAATACCGCACACTTGAAATTATTGCTTTTGCTTTCATATTATACAGGGTGATGCAAAAAAAAATGACTCCATTTATTTTATTGATTACATCAAGAACGGCTCACTACATATTTATATATGTTTATTTCAACTTAAAGGGGTTCTCAAAAAATATAAAATCCGCAAAATCAAATTTTATAATTTTTCGAAAATGCTGGATATGTTTTATTCTATTTCAAAAGCAAGGGAAGTTCTGTCGAAACAACTTTGGACAAATTGGAGTTTTAATTGTTAATTAAATTTGTAGGTTTCCATACATAGAGAAAAAAAAGCCTGAGCATATCTGTATCTATCAGCTGCATACTGGGAGTGTGGCGTACTCAGCAGAATTACTAAAAGAAAATCACATTTCCACATGTCTTAAACAAAATATAGAAGTTTGGTTACGTCACGTACTCCAGTTTGACCCATCTCTAAGAGGGACGAATTTTTCGCCAAATATCAACGTTTTCGACTATTTGCTCAACCTCCTGAACAAGAAAATCGTCACTGTATTTTCAGTTCATACTCTAGAGTTTTATTCATACGAAATTAATGAGGGTATTCTTATAAGTACTTTGAAAGACTGGATAGCGCGTGATACTAAAGTGCAAAAAAGTGATCAAGTTTTACTAAGTAGTTTAGAAATGTTTGATATTACAGACGATAAATACGTAGTTGATATTCTTTCAATGGTAATAGTACATACAATTTTACAACTCAACAAGTAATTGTTCCGTTTTAGCACGACTTAAATCTCTACGTCTTCAAAAAAGGTGCTTTTATAAATAAGGAGATGTTCAAGTTACCCAAATACGTTTCAATTTTGTTCGAAACTTGTACAACGAAGTACAAATGGCGCGACCTGCGACTGATCTACACAAAATCGTTGTTCTTCCTCTCCCAGGAAGAAAAAATAATTAAGTCTTTGAAAACCGCGTTCAATCTTTGCATTCTTTACATCCACCACTTGAACACGAAACTGAAAGACAGCATGCACCAAATCCACAAAACTTTGAACAGCGTACTGACCAGGATCGACTGCTACTACAATCTTCACAATAACAGCAAAACTAATTTTCAAAGCGGCGATTTCGATATTTACAAAGGATATTTGCTGCAGTTTCAACAGTTAGTGGGAGATCTCGAGAAGTGTGTTCATAGCGCGAACGAATTAATGAAGAAGGTCGATGTTTTGTACAAACGACAAGTTATTTTGGATAAAGTTTTACCAAACGTAACACCAATCATCCAGAACTGTGATATTACGAACGAGTGAGTGAAAATTAAGTTTTTGGGTTAAACTTATTTTATTGTTGTTAGATTTGCCAAAGCTTCTGACTTGATTTTAAAAGGAGGAGGCGACGAAGACGCGACTCCACGGGAAATGGTGAAAACTGTCTCCAGCGCACTCAAGGAGAAGGATAAATTGTTGAATAATAAAAATTTTCAGAGTTATTCCAAGTAAGTAATACGAGACGGTGTAAATAAATAAATCGTGCTAATTTTTAAATAAAATGTTTCAGAGCGATGTTAGTGGCCATAAAGGAGGTGGAAATTTTACAAGCTTGGATGCACCAGTTTCACAACCACGTCAAAGATTTATCAAAAGCAATTGATAATAATCAACGCGAGCAATATCAAAGTCTGTTAAACTCAATTCAACCAAAAAGTATTTTTGTGTTTTTTTTAAATTTTGAGTTTTATTAGTTATTGTTTTCGTTGTAGAGAAAGGCAAGCCACTGAATCATTTTGTTCACTGGGACACAGATACCGTAATAACCGAAAATCTGGAGCTGAGATGCCAGTAATTGTCGCTTTTTTTGTGTGTATCACCCATAATTGTGTATATTTCAGACTGGAAGATGTCCTCGGAGAGATGTTCGCCGCTCATAAGTCATTTTGTGATGAACTTCAGTCATTTTCAGTGCGACGATTTTAGTAGCGCTTTTTGTGCGCTAGTTCGTACTGAAAACTCCCGTGTGCTCTGGATAAATACAATTTTATTTTTCAGAACTATTGTAAGTTCTTTATGATGTAGAACAGTTTCATTTTACTTTATTCTGTATTATGCCATCAATTATTTTATCTTTATACAGTGTCATAGGGGCATACCTGTTTTGAAACGTTTTATATGCCGTTGTTTCGATAATAAAATTTTATGAAGTTTAAAGGTGTGTGAATTTTTCTTACATACATCCTCCATGGTGCTTAATTGTTGCCAAATTTGGCCCGGAATTTGCTAGTAAAATGGTGGACGTCCTACAAAAGCAATGCCCGGTGTATACAGTAGAGTTTGGCAACTTCGGAAAGTCGCGAGGTATGCAACCATCTTTCCAAAGGTGTTGTGTGGACTTGGAGATTGAACTTATTCGTCGCTTCAAAAACAGCTTTAATTTATTGCATTATTGAATAATTTCCTTCGATTTTATACCAACCCATCAAAATACCAGGTTAAGTTGTACTGATCTTTAGATTTCTTGAGCACCAAGTCAGAATTTTCATTTTTTAAGAACGCGGACAATCAGCAAAAATCGAGTAATTTTAGGTCCCTTGGTGCTTTATTTCCGGATAAATTTAATTAAAACAATTTTGGAGGACTTTGGTGTTCGGGTTTTGGAAAATTCTGACCTGACCTGTTTTTGAGTTAATTTTAGGACCTCTTTTTTTGGAAAATTTAAAGCAATCTTGGGGTTCTAGGTGTTTGGAAAGAATTTGAAAGTGCTTTGGAGCCTCTAGTGTTTTTTCTTACAATAATTTAATTACATTTTTTAGAGGATACGTCATCTGCTAAAATCAATCTTCTCTTAGTAAGTACTATCCCCACCCGCCCACCATCTATTTTCTTAGCGAGTATGTCATTTGTCAAAATCGAACTTATTTTAGCAAGTACTAACCCCGCCCACCCACCCTCTATTTTCTTAGAGGGATCTCATTTGCTAAAATCAGTCTTATTTTAGTAGGTACTAACCCCGCCCACCCGCCCTTCTTTTCTTAGAGTGATCTCATTTGCCAAAATCAGGCTTATCCTAGAAGGTACTAGCCCCGCCCACCCACCCTGTCTTTTCTTAGAGGGTATGTCATATGCCAAAATCAGTCTTATCTTAGCTAGTAGCTGCTAAAATAAAACTGATTTTGGCAAATGACATATCCTCCAAGAAAAGAGTGGGTGGGTGGGCGCGGCTAGTTCCTGCTAAGATAAGACTGATTTTGGCAAATGAGATACCTTCTAAGAAAATGAGGGCGGGTGGGCGGGGTTAGTACCTGCTAAAATAAGATTGACTTTGGCAGATGACATATTCACTAAAAAAAGAGAGGGTGGGTGGGCGGGGCTAGTAGTTACTAAGATAAAACTGATTTTGGCAAATGACCTACCGTTTAAGAAAAGAGAGGGTGGGTGGGTGGGGCAGTAGCTACTAAGATAAGACTGATTTTGGTATAGTTTTCTTTCGACAACACGATACTTAACACATCTTCAAATTCCAAAATAGGTACTCAAAACATAAAAATCTTTTAATCATGAAAGCTTCAAACCCCCAAAATCTTCAAAACACTATAATTTTCAAATCATCAAAACACTAAAATCCTCAAAACCTTGAAACATCAAAATCCTCAACCCTCAAAACATCAAATTCCTCAAATTCTCAAAACACTAAAATTTTGAAATTCTAAAATCACCAAAATCCTCAAAACATCAAAATCTTCAAATACTCAAAGCTTCAAAACTCCAAAATCCTCAGAACCTCAAAACACCAAAACCCTCAAATCCCCAAAACACGAAAATTTTTTTGGACAACCAAAATTTTCAAATCCTCAAAATACTAAAACTCTGATCTTCTCAAATCAACGAAATCCTCAAAACATCAAAATCAAAGCTGTGTAAAAAAAAGCCAAAGATTAAGCCCTACCCACTCACCCAGATCTCAATTGTGGTCAGTTTTTTATTCATAATCAGACCTAAGGGCGGAGTGTAATTGCAAAATCCATATTCTTCTATAAAATTTTACATTTAAAACATATTTCACATAGTAATTTCTTGTAGAGAAATAAGGAGTTTTCTACTAAGCTCCGCCCCCGACTCACGACGAATAAAATAATTAATTACAATTGAAATGGGGCGGGTGGGTGGGTCTTATTTTTTTACTTTTTTTTTTCGTAATATAGGTCTTCTTTCAACAATAAAATACTGAAAATATCAAATGGTGAATTTGAGATCGAATTATGCTCTAAGTATCTTGTTGTTCAAAGAAAACTATATATGTATTACGGAAAAGAAGCCAATGATTAAGCCCCACCCACCCACCCCTGTCTCAATTGTGATTAATTTTTCATTTGTCGTCAGACCGAGGGGCGGTGCTTAAGTACAAAAATTTACCATTTTGAAAATGTTTCGAGTTTCTTGTTGTGAAAACTACGTATATTAAAAAAAAGAGGCAAAATATAAGCCCCACCCACCCGCCCTATCGCAGTGTGATGATTTTTTTTATTCGTCGTAAATTGGTAGGCGGAGTTTAATTCTAAAATTATCATCAAATAATGATTTGTCTATAAGAAATTACCATCTGAAAGATGTTTTTAAGTATCGTGTTGTTGAAAGAAAACTACATATCTAGATTAATAAAGAGAAGCTATGATTAAGCCCCACCCACCCGCCCTTGTCTCAATTGTGATGAATTTTTCATTTGTCGTCAGACCGAGGGGCGGTGCTTAAGTGCAAAATCCGTATTTCCCTACAAAAATTTACCATTTTAAAAATGTTTTAAGTGTCTTGTTGTGAAAACTACGTATCTTTAAAAAAAAGAGGCAAAATATAAGCCCCACCCACCCGCCCTATCGCAGTGTGATGATTTTTTTTGTTCGTCGTAAACTGGTAGGCGGAGTTTAATTCTAAAATCATCATCAAATAATGATTTCTCTATAAGAAATTACCATCTGAAAGATGTTTTTAAGTATCGTGTTGTTGAAAGAGAACTACATATCTAGATTAATAAAGAGAAACTATGATTAAGCCCCACCCACCCACCCTTGTCTCAATTGTGATGAATTTTTCATTTGTCGTCAGACCGAGGGGCGGTGCTTAAGTACAAAATCCATATTTCCCAACAAAAATTTACCATTTTAAACATGTTTTGAGATTTTTGTTGTGAAACTCGTATATTAAAAAAAAAGGCAAAATATAAACTCCACCCACCCGCCCTATTTCAGTGTGATGATTTTTTTTTTATTCGTCGTGAACCGGGAGGCGGAGCTTAATTGTAAAATCATCATCAAATAATCATTTCTTTATAAGAAATTACCATTTGAAACATGTTTTTAAGTATCGTGTTGTTGAAAAAAAAACTACATATGTAGATTAATAAAGAGAAGCTATGATTAAGCCCCAACCACCCACCCTTGTCCCAATTGTGATGGATTTTTCGTTTGTCGTCAGACGAGGGGCGGCGCTTAAGTGGAAAATCCATATTTCCCTACAAAAATTTACCATTTTAAACATGTTTTGAGTTTCTTGTTGTGAAACTACGTATATTAAAAAAAAAAAAACAGGCAAAATATAAGCCCCACCCACCCGCCGTATCTCAGTGTGATGATTTTTTTTTTATTCGTCGTGAACCGGGAGGCGGAGTTTAATTGTAAAATCATCAAATAATCATTTCTCTATAAGAAATTACCATCTGAAAGATGTTTTTAAGTATCGTGTTGTTGAAAGAAAACTACATATGTGGATTAATAAAGAGAAGCTATGATTAAGCCCCACCCACCCTCCCTTGTCTCAATTGTGATGAATTTTTCATTTGTCGTCAGACCGAGGGGCGGTGCTTAAGTGCAAAATCCATATTTCCCAACAAAAATTTACCATTTTAAACATGTTTTGAGATTTTTGTTGTGAAACTCGTATATTAAAAAAAAAGGCAAAATATAAACTCCACCCACCCGCCCTATTTCAGTGTGATGATTTTTTTTTTATTCGTCGTGAACCGGGAGGCGGAGCTTAATTGTAAAATCATCATCAAATAATCATTTCTTTATAAGAAATTACCATTTGAAACGTGTTTTTAAGTATCGCGTTGTTGAAAAAAAAAAACCACATATGTAGATTAATAAAGAGAAGCTATGATTAAGCCCCAACCACCCACCCTTGTCTCAATTGTGATGGATTTTTCGTTTGTCGTCAGACGAGGGGCGGCGCTTAAGTGGAAAATCCATATTTCCCTACAAAAATTTACCATTTTAAACATGTTTTGAGTTTCTTGTTGTGAAACTACGTATATTAAAAAAAAAAAAAACAGGCAAAATATAAGCCCCACCCACCCGCCGTATCTCAGTGTGATGATTTTTTTTTTATTCGTCGTGAACCGGGAGGCGGAGTTTAATTGTAAAATCATCAAATAATCATTTCTCTATAAGAAATTACCATCTGAAAGATGTTTTTAAGCATCGTGTTGTTGAAAGAAAACTACATATGTGGATTAATAAAGAGAAGCTATGTTTAAGCCCCACCCACCCTCCCTTGTCTCAATTGTGATGAATTTTTCATCTGTCGTCAGACCGAGGGGCGGTGCTTAAGTGCAAAATCCGTATTTCCCTACAAAATTTTACCATTTTAAAAATGTTTTGAATTTCTTGTAGTAAAAACTACATATAAATATATAAAAAGAGGCAAAACATAAGCCCCACCCACCCACCCTATCTCAGTGTGATGATTTTTTTTATTCGTCGTGAACCGGGAGGCGGAGCTTAATTGTAAAATCATCATCAAATTATCATTTCTCTATAAGAAATTACCATCTGAAACATGTTTTTAAGTATCGTGTTGTTGAAAAAAAACTACAATGCATATTAATAAAAAGAAGCTATGATTAAGCCCCACCCACCCGCCCCAGTCTTAATTGTGATAAATTTTTCATTCGTTGTCAGAGCGAGAGGCGGAGCATAACTGCAAATTCGATCATTCTCTGCAAAAATTTACCCTTTTAAACATCTTGCACTGAAAAATTTGGGTTTTCGCGAAGTTGCTTAAAAATACATAAAACATTCTGGGAGATGGATCTAGACAAACCGAATCCAAAACTATGGCATGTTGATAGTCCTAGTCCAAGATTGACGGCTATAACTGAAAATTTCGGAGGAATTTTGGCCAAAAATAGAAATATTCATTCCCTATTTTTATTAAATAGTCTATTTTCAACAATACGATGATGTCCCAAACATACGGACTTTGCAATTAAGCTCCGCCCCCTATCTCATAACGAATAAAAAATTTATCACAGTCGAAATCGGGGCGGGTGGGTGGGGCATAGGCTTCGGTTTCTTTTTCTTACTATATATCTTTAGTCTTCTTTAAATAACAAATGGTGAATTTGAGATTCGAATTACGTTTTAAGTATTCTGTTGTTGAAATAAAACTATATATGCATTAAGGAAAAGAAGCCAATGATTAAGCCTCACCCACCCATTCCTATCTCAGTTGTGATGAATTTTTCATTTGTTGTCAGACCAAGGGGCGGTGCTTAAGTTCCAAAACCATATTTCCCTACAAAAATTTACCATTTTAAACATGTTTTAAGTTTCTTGTTGTGAAAAGAACAAAACTGATGTATAAAAAGGGCAACATATAAGATAATCCCACCCACCCGCCCTATCTTGATCGTTTTTTTTTTTCTGCACCATAAAGAATTTAACGTACCGTGGAAGAGGTAATCCGCCATTTTCTAGACACCCGGTATAAAAATCATAAATGCTTAATTTATGTTAATTTTTTTTTTAAGAATTCTTTCGGTTTTTCAGTTTTTAAAGTTCTTGATTTCAAATTTTTAGATTTTTTCAGTGTCTCATTTTCGATTTTTTAATTTTACAGTTTTGCAATTTTTTCGAAAAAAAAAATGAAAAATTGAAAAAGTTTTAAAATTATTATTACACGTTTAAAATGAAAACCCAAAAAATAAAAAAGTTCACATTGAAAAAAAGAAAAATTATAAGATCAGAACATTGAAAAACCGAAAAATTCAGAAAATAAAGAAAATAAAAAACCGAAACAAAAAATCGCAAATCGAGATTGAAGAAATGAAGCTTTATTCAAAGCAAAAAAGGAACATCTAGAATTCCAGGCCTTATGATCAATTCCTTATTGAAATATTTACACTCTTATCTGAACAGTAGAATCTTATTTGTGAAATACAGAAATTTTAGCTCCTTTGGGGTCCCACAGGGATCGAACTTAGTACCCTTGTTGTTTTCACTCTTTATTAACGAACTTCCTGATCTCAAATTATACATAGAAATTAATTCTATTAATGATTGTTACAATCTTCAGTTTTGCTTGGTGAGATCAAGACTGGAGTACGGAGCAGTTATTTGCAACTTTTTTCGTAGTCCCTACACAACCGACAACCGCTAATCTAGTTGCTACAGACGATTGACATTTAAAAATGCCAGATTTTATTTACCATTCTATCATTTCTGTTTATGATCAAGAATCATGTTGAACTATGCCGAAGGCAAAGAAATTCAACAGCAAACCGTTCCTGAGTGGTTTAGCAGTCCAGAAATCGATCTTCCTCTTTTGGACTCACTAATCGACGACAACAACGAGCTAGGTACAGATGCCGTCCTCAAGAACACTTCGTACAACTGTCTACTGAAACCTTTTGTTAGTAAAATGACTTTGTTTTAAATTGGAGTCAATTTGTGCATTAATAGGAGATGGAATGGGTTTTCGGGTTCGACGTAAACGTGCCTGTGATAAATTTAAGCGACGAAGAGAGGTGCCAGATTTTTTATACAGCGTCGAATATCGGTATTCTGTATAACTACTGTACCAAAACAATGAACCATCTAAGAGGACACGTGGGTGGTCAATAGTTGCATTATTTTTTTAAAAAGCTTGGTTTTTTTAGCAAAGCAAAATTGTTAGTGTGTGTTTGGATAAGACCGGGCAGTGGTTAGCAACAGCTGATAATGGTCCAGACAACACTATTATGATATGGGATACACATAAAGCGTAATTTTCCAAGCCAGAGTTTCTTTGGTAAAATAATTGTTTTAGTACTATGGTGTGGACGATCTTCAACCACCCCCCAAGCGGTAATAATTTACTCTTAATTGGTATGAGCCCTAGCGCAAAACTGCTAGTAATCATCAGCGACCAAGACGAAACTACCATCGAGTTTTGGTTGTGGACCTACGGCAAAGACGCACCCGATGGTAATAATAATAACAAATCCAACCACCCTCAATCCAACCCATTTTTAATACAATTATCAGATACCTATACCAACGAAAACAACTTGGGGGCACCCAAATCCATCGAATTCCATCCAAATAAAGAGCAACATTTCATGATCGTGTTCGAGAAGTCGGTTTTGTTCTTTTGCTGGGACTTCGAAAGTAATAAAGTGACCAAAACTATTCACCCTAAGACTCCTTCAAACCTCCGCGTTGGTCACTACTCGGATGCTACTTACGTTAATCATTGCCACGAATCTTTTGTTGCTTCTTCCAAAGGTAGTATTCTGGTTTTTGGAACTACCATCTATGCTAGAAATTATGCCGACGAAGCGATTGACAATGAAAAATTCTACGTGAAGTGTATCAAAATCAGCAGGGCGTATATCAACTGTCTCACATCCATAGACCAGTAAGTCGTACTTTTTACTTCCCGAGCGTAAGCAAAGGAAGTATTGTAATCGAGTCCGTCGGCCGACTCTCTACTTTTACGTTTTCTCGATCTTTCATGACCCCTAGAAGACGAAGAAATAGGTCTCCCATTTCCGTTTGTCTGTCCGTCTGTCCGTCCGTCTGTCCGTCTGTTGTCCCGGATTTTTATTAGACAGATAATCTCCGAAAGTACTCGACCGATTGTTGTGAAATTTTGTACTTATATTAAGAATATCATGTAGATGGTAAAACGCTAACCAAAATTTGTCTAATCATCCCCACCACTAATGCGATGACGTCAAAATTGTACATAGTATAGTGAACCAAGAGCTATAAGGTTATATGGCCATCATAAAAGTAGTTGACCGCAAATAAATACCCCCTTTGTGTGGTTCGCACTAAGCTGACCGGTTGGCAATAAATCATCTTCTAAACATTTCTTGCTCATATTTAACAGGGCCGGATTTCAAAGCGAGTGGTTATTTCGGAACCCTCAGCGGCTGCAGGTAGTAAAGAAATAGTGGAGTGGTGGATTTTCATATTTAGTGAAAGCCACCCCTGAACGAAACCACAAGAGCCGGTCGAGCTACAGTGGACACGTTATTTACGATCCTAAAACCTTTTCTATTGTAAACAACTTAACTTCGACACAATGGGATGATTTTATGATGACCATATAACCTTATAACTCTTGGTTCACTATAAATGGGTTTTCAATTGTATAAAATAACATAGTCCTACACATGTAGTTTACAACTCTGAATCGACTTTTCACCCGAAACGTCCAGATTTTTGGAAAAAAAATCAAAATTATAAAACAACATTTTGAAATTTAATTTTTAATCTGCTAACCAGAATGCTTTGAAATGTTGCAGATGTTTTAAGGCTATAAAGAGCATCATAAATCTTTAGTCAAAAAATATTTGCTTATCCCCTCCAAAAACTTGATGACGTCAGCTCAAAAGTTTGTAGAATAAATCATATCTAAAATGTACAAAATATGATGAGTCTGTACTTGTGATCTATCACTCCATTCATATTTTTTGGATTTGCATATACAGGGTGACTCAAAAAAAATAATGAATGCGTAAATTTATTTTACTGATTTACTCAGAAACTACAAAACCGAATGCTTTGAAATCTTGCAGATGTTTTAAGGTTATAAAGAGCATAATAAATGTTTAGTCAAAATATATTTGCTTATCCCCTCCAAAAACTTGATGACGTCAGCTCGAAAGTTTGCCGAATAAATCATATCTAAAATGTACAAAATATGATGAGTCTGTACTTGTTATTTATCACTCCATTCATATTTTTTGGATTTGCATATACAGAGTGACTCAAAAAAATTAATGAATGCGTAAATATATTTGATTGATTTAATCAGGAACTACAAAACGGAATGCTCTGACATCTTGCAGATGTTTTAAAGTTATAAAGAGCATAATAAATGTTTAGTCAAAATATATTTGCTTATCCCCTCCAAAAACTTGATGACGTCAGCTCGAAAATTTGCCGAATAAATCATATCTAAAATGTACAAAATATTATCAGTCTGTACTTGTGATCTATCACTCCATTCATATTTTTTGGATTTGCATATACAGGGTGATTCAAGAAAATAAATGAAAGCGTAAATTTATTTTACTGATTTACTCAGGAACTACAAAACCGAATGCTTTGAAATCTTGAAGATATTTTAAAATTATCATAAGCATGGTAAATTTTTGATCAAAACGTATTTGGTCGTCCCCCCTAAAAAAATTATGACGTCACCACAAAATTTTGCTGAATAAATCCTATCTAAAATGTACAAAATATGGTGAGTCTCTTCTTGTGATTTATCATTCCATTCAAATTTTTTCGATTTGCATATACAGGGTGACTCAAAAAAATTAATGAATGCGTAAATTTATTTTATTGATTTAATGAGGAACTACAAAACCGAATGCTTTGAAATCTTGCAGATGTTTTAAGGTTATAAAGAGCATAATAAATTTTTAGTCAAAATATATTTGGTTATCTTCTACAAAAAACTGATGACGTCACCACAAAATTTTGGTGAATAAATCCTATCTAAAATGTACAAAATATGATGGGTCTCTTCTTGTGATTTATCATTCCATTCATATTTTTGGATTTGCATATGCAGGGTGACTCAAAAAAGTTAATGAAGGCGTGAATTTATTTTATCGATTTAATCAGGAATTACAAAACCGAATGCTTTGAAATCTTGGGAATATTTTAAAGTTATTATAAGCATGGTAAACTTTTGTTCAAAATGTATTTGTTCATCCCTCCTAAAAAAATTGATGACGTCACCCTTAAATTTTGCTGAATAAATCCTATCTAAAATGCAAAAAATATGATGAGTTTGTACTTGTGATTTATCATTCCATTCATATTTTTAAAATTTTCTTAAGAGGTGGTTCAAAAAAATTAATGAAGTCAATTTATTTTATTGATTAAATTAAAGGCAACACTTATTATTAGTATTACACCCCAACCAACCCAATTTGGTAGACACAAAATTTGTTAAAGGAAAAACTCGGTTGAAACATAAGGGTAGCACGCTTATTTACATCGACTTTAACATTACATACCTGCATTTGTTTTATGCGTTCACTTGGTTCCGCGAATGTGAAATAGACATGTTTATAATCAACCAATTGTGAATTTCACCGTCAAGAATTAAAATAAAACCCAATGTTTTATATAATAAGCGGAAGTCGAAGCAATAAAACCGACGGTCGTTTTGTTTACAGTTTCTCTGTTTGACTCTCACGTATGCTGTTACGCCTGTCATCTTAAATTAAGAATGTTTATACATACACGATTTTCAGTTGCCTCTGATACGTATACGTGAGTAAATTGTTTCGTTATTTTACTGATTATTACAAATCAATATTCAAAACGACCCAATTCATTTTCCCGAAAATTTGAGAATATAATAATTTTATTCTTAGTATTACACTACATCTATCCCAACTGATATACGTGTCCTGTTGATGACGTCATCGCAATTTTTTTTTAAATTCCCACTACAAAAATGTAATGAGAAAAAAAACACAATAGGCATGCAGTCGTCAAGTTTCCGACAGCGAGGGAAGTACTGTCTAAACTCTTTAGACCAATTTTTTGTTACTTTGGTACTTTTTGATTAGATTAATTGTGACCGGAGATTCCAACGGTACGATAATGTTTTTCGACAAATGCGTCAAACTGCTCTACTGGATTTCAAGACAAATAACCAAACCCATCAAATCCATAAGCTTTAAGTTAAACCCACGAAAATATAACCTGGTCCATCAGGAAACAACCGACACACCAGACAACGCGGAAGATACATCCAGTGGTCTCATTAACGAATGTTTTGTGGATTTTTCTGATGAGTACGAACGCCTGATTCTTGAACAAGTACCGAGAGACGCAACCCTGGAGAACCGTCCATTCATCACAAGAGATTTCTTTATAAGTAAAACTGACTAGTAAAAATCGCATAAACTGGGTTTAAATTTCAGAAACAGCGGACGGTACTATGTATTTGATGAACGTCATAGATCACCGCTTGTTGCCTATTTTCCCTACAGCGGACAGCAACGTGGCAGCGATTGATGTCCACGAAGAAATGTAGTACTAAAAACCGAAACCTTCATAACCTATAAGTTTGTTTTAAGGCCTTATCTAGTAATCGCGTATACCAAAGGCCGTATGGTTCTTTTCAACTACGAGACGGAGCAAGAAGTCCTCACTACATTTCTACCCGAAACCGACCCCGATGCTTTGATAACAACCGTCAAGTATTCTAGTCAATGTTAGTACCAATCTTGTCATTGTAGCCACTTTTCCAAAAATTTTTCCCTCAAGGTCTACATCTAGCCTGTGGGAGAAGCAACGGCGAACTGTGGTTTCTCCAGCCGGTTTTACTAGCCCAGATTTATGTGGATCCGTTCAAATTCAGCAACGACAAAGTAGTCAGTATAGCGTTTTCTCAAAGTTCTTTGCAAATGGCGTATTTTGTGAGTGACGATGACCCACCACGTTTCGAGTTTGTTCACGCAAACATTTACAGGACTCGAATATGACAGTATTTGCCTTTTACTATGACACGGATACCGAAGACTGGATTTTTAAAGGGAAAGTGCGCTCTCACTACAAAGACATCTGCAACATGCTCTTCTTGGATGAAGACCCTTTTGGTCTTTACACCATCGGGAAAGACAGACACCTCATCAAATACACAAACATCGCCGACAAGTAAGAACTATCATTTGTAACAAATTATTAACAATATTTTTCAGTGACGAAGAACTCGACATTTTGACTCGAGATCGAATAGAGCAGAAAGATATCCCGATGTATTTTATCCCTTATCCCAGAGGGAAGTTCAGCAAGAGTGGCTATTTTTTGATAGCAGATGATAAGGTACTAAAGGTCGATTTATAAACTTGTCGCTGACGTTACCAGTGTACTTATATTTTGCCTATCTTTTCACAAAAACGAAAAATGTCAGCCCGCCCACCCGCCCTATCTCAATTGTAATGATATTTTTATTCGCCGTGAACCAAGAGGGCGGAGTTCAACTGCAAAATACTTATTTCTTTACAGTAAATTAAAAACATGTTTTTCCTCATCTCATTTGTGATGATTTTTTTTCTTCTTAGAAACTTAAAACACGTTTATAATGGTAAATTTTTGTAAGGAAATATGGATTTTTCAATTAGGCTCCGCCCCTAGGTCAGCCAACGAATGAAAAGTTCATTACGATTTAGATCAGGGCAGGGGTGGGTGGGGCTTAATCTTTGGCTTTAAGTATTCTGTGAATAACACGTAGTATTTTGCAGTTAAATTCCGCCCTCTTGGTTCCCGGCGAATCAAAAAAAATCATCACAATTGAGATAGAACGGGTGGGCGGGGCTTATATTTTGCCTTTTTTCTTAATATACATAGCCATCTTCTTTCAAAACCTTGAACATGGTTCTTCATATTTTAAAGATTTTTCAGGAATTCCTAGATCCTTAAAATTTCCAGGATTTAGGTTTTTAATTTTAAAGAGGCTTTTTAACATTCACTCTAAAGATCCTTTAAAAAAATGGGGGATCGTTTATGAAGATTTAAAACATATTTCCCACAATTTTTCAAGAACTTAAAAAATTTGTGTTTTTTCATTTTTAAGATGTTTTTCGATTCATCTTGAAATTTAAAAAAACATCAATATTTTCAAATGCTTTTTTCAGGAATCAAAGTTTTTTTAACATCTTGAGATTTTTCAAAATTTTTTGAAGATCTTTAAAAATTTTAGAATTCTACGTCAAAAATTTTTTGAATTTTTCAAGATTATCAAGCTCCTTACAAATTTAAAGATGTTTTCTAAAATTTCGAGACTTTTCATTAAAAATCCATTAAAGGATTTTTTTTGTACTTTTTTTTTAATTTCGAAGAAGCATATTTAAATTTTCAATATTTTTCATATCCAAAATTTGTTAAAAGATGACAGAAAAAGAAGTTTTTTTAAACATTTCCGAAATCTATATTTAAATTAATTTTTAAAATTTTCAGGATTTAGTTTTTTTAATTTGAAAGAGCCTTTTTAACATTCACTTAAAGATCCATTAAAAAAATGGAGGGTCGTTTATGAAGAATTAAAAAATATTTCCCAAAATTTTTCAAAAACTTAAAAAATTTCAATTTTTTCATTTTTAAGATATTCTTTCATTCATCTTGAAATTTAAAAAAGTATCAATATTTTCAAGAACTTTTTTCAGTAATCAAAGTTTTTTTTAAGAATTTGAGATTTTTCAAAATTTGTCAAAATTGTTTGAAGATCTTTAAAAATTTTAGAAGTCCACGTCAAAAATTTTCATAATTTTTCAAGATTGTCAAGCTCCTTACAAATTTAAAGATGTTTTCTAAAATTTCGAGATATTTCTTTAAAAATCCAACATTTTTTAAAAGATTTTTTTGTAATTATTTTTTTTAATTTTGAAGAACCATATTTAAATTTTCAATATTTTTCAAGATCTTTTTCATATTCCAAGATTTGTTAAATGAAGACCGAAAAAGAAGTTTTTTTTAAACATTTCCGAAATTCATATTTAAATTATTTTCAAAATTTTTTCAAAACCTTGAACATGGTTCTTGATATTTTTAAGATCTTCCAGAATTTTCAAGATTCTTAAAATTTACAGGATTTAATTTTTTTAATTTTAAATAGCCTTTTTAACATTTAGTTTAAAGATCCTTTAAAAAATGGAGGATCATTAATGAAGATTTAAAAAATATATCCCAAAATTTTTCAAGAACTTAAAAAATTTGTGTTTTTCATTTTTAAGATGTTTTTCGATTCATCTTGAACTTTAAAAAATATCAATATTTTCAAAAACTTTTTTCAGTAATCTAAGTTTTCTTTAAGATATTGAGATTTTTCAAAATTTTTCAAAATTTTTTGAAGATCTTTAAAAATTTTAGAAGTCCACGTCAAAAATTTTCATAATTTTTCAAGATTGTCAAGCTCCTAACAAATTTAAAGATGTTTTCTAAAATTTCGAGATTTTTCTTTAAAACTCCAAAATTTTTTAAAAGATTTTTTTGTACTTTTTTTTTTTAATTTTGAAGAATCATATTTAAATTTTCAATATTTTTCAAGATTTTTTTCAAAACCTTGAATATGGTTCTTGAAATTTTAAAGATCTTTCAGGATTTTCAAGATCCTTAAAATTTCCAGCATTTATTTTTTTTTTTATTTTAAATAGCCTTTTTAACATTCAGTTTCAAGATCCTTTAAAAAAATGGAGGATCATTAATGAAGATTTAAAAAATATTTCCCAAAATTTTTCAAGAACTTAAAAAATTTGTGTTCTTTCATTTTTAAGATGTGTTTCGATCCATCTTGAAATTTAAAAAAATATCAGTATTTTCAAATACTTTTTTCAGAAATCAAAGTTTTTTTTTAAGATTTTGAGATTTTTCAAATTTTTTGAAAATCTTTAAAAAATTTTAGAAATCCACGTCAAAAATGTCCATAATTTTACAAGATTATCAAGCTTTTTACAAATTTAAAGATGTTTTCTAAAATTTCGAGATTTGTTTTCAAAATCCAAGATTTGTTAAAAGAAGACAAAAAGAAGTTTTTTTAACATTTCCGAAATCTATGTTTAAATTAATTTTCAAAATTTTTTCAAAACCTTGAACATGGTGCTTCATATTTTAAAGATATTTCAGGATTTCTTAGATCCTTAAAATTTCCAGGATTTAGTTTTTTTAATTTTAAAGAGCTTTTTTAGCATTCACTTTAAAGATCCTTTAAAAAATGGAGGATCGTTTATGAAGATTTAAAAAATATTTCTCAAAATTTTTCAAGAACTTAAAAAATTTGTGTTTTTTCATTTTTAAGATGTTTTTCGATTCAGCTTGAAATTTAAAAAAATATCAATATTTTCAAGGTCTTTTATTAACATTTTCAAGAACTTTTTCAGCAATCAAAGTTTTTTTTAAGATTTTGAGATTTTTTTTTAATTTTTCAAAATTTTTTGAAGATCTTTAAAAATTTTAGAAGTCCACGTCAAAAATTATTATAATTTTTCAAGATTGTCAAGCTTCTTACAAATTTAAAGATGATTTCTAAAATTTCATTTTTAAAAGATTTTTTTGTATTTTTTTTAATTTTGAAGAACCATATTTAAATTTTCAATGTTTTTCAAGATTTTATTCAAAATCCAAGATTTGTTAAAAGAAAACAGAAAAAGAAGTTTTTTTAACATCTCCGAAATCTATATTTAAATTAATTTTTGAAATTTTTTCAAAACCCTGAACATGGTTCTTCATATTTTAAAGATTTTTCAGGATTTCTTAGATCCTTAAAATTTTCAGGATTTAGTTTTTTTAATTTTAAAGAGCCTTTCTAACATTCACTTTAAAGATCCTTTACAAAATAGAGGATCGTTTATGAAGATTTAAAAAATATTTCCCAAAATTTTTCAAGAACATAAAAAAATTGCGTTTTTTCATTTTTAAGATATTTTTCGTTTCATCTTGAAATTAAAAAAATATCAGTAGTTTCAAGAACATTTTTCAGTAATCAAAGTTTTTTTTTAACATTTTGAGATTTTTCAAATTTTTTTGAAGATCTTTAAAAATTTTAGAAGTCCACGTCAAAAATTTTCATAATTTTTCAAGATTATCAAGCTTCTTACAAATTTAGAGATGTTTTCTAAAATTTCGAGATTTTTTTTAAAAATCCAATATTTTTTACAAGATTTTTTTACTTTTTTTTATTTTGAAGAACCAGATTTAAATATTCAATATTTTTGAAGATTTTTTCAAAATCCAAGATTTGTTAAAAGAAGACAAAAAAAGAAGTTTTTTTAAACATTTCCGAAATCTATGTTTAAATTAATTTTCAAAATTTTTCCAAAACCTTGCACACTGTTTTTGATATTTTAAGGATTTTTCAGGATTTCCTAGATCCCTAAAATTTCCAGGATTTAGTTTTTTTAATTTTAAAGAGCCTTTTTAACATTCACTTTAAAGATCCTTTAAAAAAATGGAGGATCATTTATGAAGATTTAAAAAATATTTTCCAACATTTTTCAAGAACTTCAAAAATTTGTGTTTTTTCAATATTAAGATGTTTTTCGATTCATCTTGAACTTTCAATATTTTCAAGCACTTTTTTCAGTAATCGAAGTTTTTTTTAAGATTTCGAGATTTTTCAAAGTTTTTTGAAGCTCTTTAAAAATTTTAGAAGTCCACGTCAAAAATTTTTCTAATTTTTCAAGATTATCAATCTCTTTACAAATTTAAAGATGCTTTCTAAAATTTCGAGATTTTTTTGTACTTTTTTTTTAATTTTGAAGAACCCTATTTAAATTTTCAATATTTTTCAAGAGTTGTTTAAAGAATTCAGAAAAAGAAGTTCCGAAATTTATATTTAAATCAATTTTCAAAATTTTTTCAAAACCTTGAACATGGTTCTTGAAATTTTAAAGATTTTTCAGGATTTCCGAGATCGTCGAAATTTACAGGATTTAATTTTTTTAATATTAAATAGCCTTTTTAACATTCACTTTAAAGATCCCTTAAAAAAATTGAGGATCTTTTATAAAGATTTAAAAATCTTTTCCAAAATTATTCAAGAACTTAAAAAAAATTGTGTTTTTTATTGTTAAGATGTTTTTCGTTTCATCTTGAAATTAAAGAAAACTGTATTTCCAAGATCACGTCTAATCTTACCATAGTATTCTTTGAACAACACAATACTCAAAAACGTGTTTTTAAACTTCATAAGGATTTTGTAGTTAAGCTCCTCCATTTTGACTCACGTCGAATAAAAAAATCATCACAATCGAGACAGGGTGGGTGGGCGGGGCTTATACTTCGCCCGTTTTTCTTAATATGTGTAGACTTATTTCGACGATAAGAAACTTAAAATATGTCTAAAACCCCTTGAAATTCAACGTCAAGAGCAAGTTTATAAATCCCACTTAAGACCACTTTGCCTTAACTTCTCTCTGGACAAATTTTTAGCATAAATACAAAGCTATAAGCTCGAGGACGTCCATGTGCACGGCTGTGTATTTAGGACCAGCTTATGGGTGCTTCAAGGACAGCCACGTTCGCAAAATGGAGGCACTACAACACCGTTTTAAGTTTGACTTATATTAATTATTATTGTCACAGTTTCTGCCTAAATCCAACAAGAAGTATCTTATTTTCATGACTAAGAAACATTTCGGGATCCAGATGATGCCAGTCGATGGTAACCCGTTTAAATTTGTGGGTTGTCTTGGTCACCCCGACGAAGTAAACCCGTCTTAACAAAATTACTAACTTAGTTATTAAATAACGTGACTTTAGATTGCAGATTTTAAAATTTCGAATGATGGACGACACGTATTTACTGTGGGAAAAGACGACCGGACTGTGTTTATGTGGAAAGTTAGAACCACGTGAGCGGATTTTGATGATCCAGAACCCCCAATATATAACTAGTTATATTTAGGAGTGTAGAAACCATGCACATATTGGGTGGTTTGGAACTTCAACCCTACTATTGTCTCATCGAAGGGGGACGAGGTGGTTTTCTGTATCAAGAGATGCGCGATCTTTTCTACTATATGCAAATTTTGCAACAAGGGGAGCAAATATCGGCCCCCAGGACCGTTACGAACTATATCAACATAGGTGAATTACCCGATTTGATGAGAGCTTGTGGGTATTACCCGTCAGAATACGAGGTATACAGTCAACTTTACTAGAATATCTATACTCATTCTTGTTTTTACCCCCAGATTGAAAATCTTTTGACCGATATTCGCTACAAACTATTCGATGATAGCGGCATTCTCAAAGACAAAGTCACATTTTGTGAATTTGTTAAGCTTTTTATTAACCATAAGCCGGCGTACGGGTACACTATTGACGCTCTGGAGGAAGCTTTCGAGGCGATTACTACGTTTACGGACGAATATGGGGGTTCAGATATGCCTAGAGACGACTTTATTGAAGCTTTGACCACAACAGGGGAGCAAGTCAGTACTGAACAAATCTACAGATGTTTCGCCACACTATTGCACGCAGAGACTACTTCGGGCGATTTGTCAGGCGAAAGAGACTTCGGTTTTATGCCAGACGTAAGAGAGATCGATGATAAATAGAGAGCGGATTTATAAGCACAAAAAAATTAAGAATAAGCGCTTAAATAAGCACAAGCTTATCAAGCCCGTCTATTAGTTTATTCGCCTAAATGTATTATTAATACCGCTTTCTTGTTATTTAGATAAGGGAACAAATTAAATGCACAGTTCTATTTTTAAACGCTCTGTATTTTTGCTCGGTAAAAATGATAAATGCTAAGTTATATAATAAATGCTCAGTTAAAAAATAAATTTTCAGTAAAAATAATATATGCTTGGTGAAATAATAGCTGCTTAGTTAAATTAATAACTGTTCGGTTAAATGTGGAATGCTTAGTAAGAACCCTACGTGCTAAGTATAAAAATTGATCGAAGGTTATTTCGACAGAACTTCCCTCGCCCGTCAAATGCAGCACAACAAATAATACTCCCGCAAAAACTTTAAAAATCGAAAAATCAAAACACCCAAAAATCGAAACATTAAGAAACCAAAATATTAAAATACCTGAAAATTGAAAATCCAGAAATTGAAAAGTTCTCAATATTTAAATCCTGAAAAAATGAGTATTGAAAACTTGAAAAATTGAGAAATCCAAGCATAAAAAAATAGTAAAATCGAAAAATGTAAAATTTTAAAAATCCAAAAATTGAGAAATAAAAGAAAAGAAAAATCAAAAATTTAAAAATTCGAAAAATTGAAAAATTAAAATATCGAAAAATTGAAGAATTGGGACATCGAAACACCAAAAAAATCAAAAAAACAAACATCTAAAATTCAAAAATCAAAAAATTGAACACTCGAAAAGCCAGAAAGTCGAAAAATCGAAACATCGGAATGTTCAAAAACTGAAACATCGAGAAATCAAAACATCAAGAGTAGAGGAGTCAAAAAATCAAAAAATTAAGAAATCAAATTAGACCAAAATTGAAAAATAGAAAAGTTAATAATTGAAAAATTGAAACATTATTAATGAAAAAAAAAATGGTAAACTGAAAAATTGAAAAATCTAAAAATCGAGAAATTGAACGATCTAAAAATTAAACAATTTAAAAATAGAAGAATTGGAAAACCAAAAAATCTAAACCGAGAACTTGAAAAATCGAATAATCGACAAATCAAAACATCAAGGAAAACAAAAAAATTAACGGAAAATCTAGAACTTAAAAATTGAAAAATTAAAATACTCGTACTTATCGAAAAATTGAAAAACCGAGGAACCGAAACATCAAAAAGTGGAAAAATTGAAGAACCGAAACATTGCAAAATCCCAGAACTGAAATACTGAAAAACTGAAAAATGGAAGGAAAATTGAAAAATCGAGAAAGTGAAAAAATTCAAAACTGAAATCTTGAAAAACTGAAAAATGGAAAGAAAATTGAAGAATCGGAAAAGTGAAAAAATCCAAAACTGAAACATTGAAAAATTCAGAAATCGAAAAATTGAAAAATCACAATTGAAGAAAGAATTGAAAAATCAAGAAATAGAGAAATGGGAAAATCAAAAAATCAGTTAATGGAAAAATTGAGAAATCGAAAAATTTAGAAACGTCAAAAATTGAAAACTGAAAAATAGCAAAATTTAAAAATCGTAAATCTGAAACATCGGAAAATTGAGAAATCGAAAAATGTAGAAATTCCAGAAACCGAAAATATGAAGAATCGAGAAATGAAGAATCGATAAATTGAAAAATGCCAACAGTAATATGTCGAAAAATTGAGAAATCGAAAGCGAGCAAAACTGAAGTATCGTAAAGTTAGTAAATTGAAAAACTGTAAATTAAAAAAAAAATCGTATCAAAAACTAAAAATTCAAAAAATCGAGAAATTGAACAATCAAAAAATCAAAACATTGAAATCCCAGTAAGTTGATAAATAGGAAAATTTAAAAAACAAAAATTTTAAAAATCCAAGAATTGCACAACAAAAAAATCTAAACCTGAAAACTCGAATGATCGAGAACTCAAAACATTAAAGAAAACAAAAAATCTAAAATTTAAAAATTCGACAAATTGAAAAATCATGGAACTGATAAATCGAAAAGTCGAGATAGTGAGAAATCTAAAAACCTAAAACTTTAAAAACTGAAAAATAAAAATATCGAAAAATTTAAAAACCGAGAAAACAATATCAAAAATTTGAAAAATTGAAGAAACGATATATTGCAAAATTCCAAAGCTGAAATATTGAAAAACCTAAAAATGGAAGGAAAATTAAAGAATCGAAACAGTGAAAAAATCAAAAAAACAAAAATCAAAAAATTGAACACTCGAAAAGCCAAAAAGTCGAAAAATCGAAACATCCGAATGTTCAAAAACTGAAACATCGAGAAATCAAAACATCAACAGTAGAGGAGTCAAAAAATCAAAAAATTAAGAAATCAAATTAGACCAAAATTGAAAATTCGAAAAGTTAATAATTGAAAAAATAAAAATATTTTAATGAAAAAAATCGGTAAACCGAAAAATTGAAAAATCTAAAGATCGAGAAATTGAACGAACTAAAAATTAAACAATTTAAAAATCGAAGAATTGGAAAACCAAAAAATCTAAACCGAGAACTTGAAAAATCGAATAATCGACAAATCAAGACATCAAGGAAAACAAAAAAATTAACGGAAAATCTAGAACTTAACAATTGAATAATTAATATAGGTACCTATCGAAAAATTGAAAAACCGAGAAATCGAAACATCAAAAAAATGGAAAAATTGAAGAACCGAAACATTGCAAAATTCCAGAACTGAAATACTGAAAAACTGAAAAATGGAAGGAAAATTGAAAAATCGAAAAAGTGAAAAAAGTCAAAACTGAAATCTTATAAAAACTGAAAAATGGAAAGAAAATTGAAGAATCGGAAAAGTGAAAAAATCCAAAACTGAAACATTGAAAAATTCAGAAATCGAAAAATTGAAAAATCACAGTTAAAGGAAGAATTGAAAAATCGAGAAATAGAGAAACGGGAAAATAAAAAAATCAGTTAATCGAAAAATTGAGAAATCGAAAAATTTAGAAACGTCAAAAATTGAGAAATTTAAGTATCAAAAAATAGTAAAATTGAAAAATGTAAAATTTAAAAAATCCAAAAATTGAGAAATAGAAGAAAAGAAAAATCAAAAATTTAAAAATTCGAAAAATTGAAAAATTAAAATATCGAAAAATTGAAGAATTGGGAAATCGAAACACCAAAAAAATCAAAAAAACAAAAATCTAAAATTCAAAAATCAACAAATTGAACACTCGAAAAGCTAAAAAGTCGAAAAATCGAAACATCGGAATATTCAAAAACTGAAACATCGAGAAATCAAAACATCAACAGTAGAGGAGTCAAAAAATCAAAAAATTAAGAAATCACATTAGACCAAAATTGAAAAATCGAAAAGTTAATAATTGAAAAATTGAAACATTATTAATGAAAAAAAAAATGGTAAACTGAAAAATTGAAAAATCTAAAAATCGAGAAATTGAACGATCTAAAAATTAAACAATTTAAAAATAGAAGAATTGGAAAACCAAAAAATCTAAACCGAGAACTTGAAAAATCGAATAATCGACAAATCAAAACATCAAGGAAAACAAAAAAATTAACGGAAAATCTAGAACTTAAAAATTGAAAAATTAAAATACTCGTACTTATCGAAAAATTGAAAAACCGAGGAACCGAAACATCAAAAAATGGAAAAATTGAAGAACCGAAACATTGCAAAATCCCAGAACTGAAATACTGAAAAACTGAAAAATGGAAGGAAAATTGAAAAATCGAAAAAGTGAAAAAATTAAAAACTGAAATCTTGAAAAACTGAAAAATGGAAAGAAAATTGAAGAATCGGAAAGGTGAAAAAATCCAAAACTGAAACATTGAAAATTTCAGAAATCGAAAAATTGAAAAACCACAATTAAATGAAGAATTGAAAAATCGAGAAATAGAGAAATGGGAAAATAAAAAAACAGTTAATCGAAAAATTGAGAAATCGAAAAATTTAGAAACGTCAAAAATTGAAAACTGAAAAATAACAAAATTTAAAAATCGTAAAACTGAAACATCGGAAAATTGAGAAATCGAAAAATGAAGAAATTCCAGAAACCGAAAATATGAAGAATCGAGAAATCGAAGAATCGATAAATTGAAAAATCCCAACAGTAATATGTCAAAAAATTGCGAAATCGAAATCGAGCAAAACTGAAGTATCGTAAAGTTAATAAATTGAAAAACTGAAAATTAAAAAAAAATCGTATCAAAAACTAAAAATTCAAAAAATCGAGAAATTGAACAATCAAAAAATCAAAACATTGAAATCCCAGTAAGTTGATAAATAGGAAAATTTGAAAAACAAAAATTTTAAAAATCCAAGAATTGAACAACAAAAAAAGTCTAAGCCTGAAAACTCAGAAAATCGAATGATCGAGAACTCAATACGTCAAAGAAAACAAAAAATCTAAAATTTAAAAATTCGACAAATTGAAAAATCATGGAACTGAAAAATCGAAAAGTCGAGATAGTGAGAAATCTAAAAACCTAAAACTTTAAAAACTGAAAAATTTAAATATCGAAAAATTTAAAAACCGAGAAAACACAATATCAAAAATTTGAAAAATTGAAGAAACGAAATATTGCAAAATTCCAAAGCTGAAATATTGAAAAACCTAAAAATGGAGAAAATTAAAGAATTGAAACAGTGAAAAAATCCCAAACTGAAACATTGAAAAATTGAGAAATGGAAAAATCAAAAAAATCGGTCTAAAGAGTTTAGACAATACTTCCCTCGCTATCGGAAACGTGACGACTGCATGCCTGTTATGTTTTTTTTTCACATTAGATTTCAAATCATTAGGTTTTGTAGTCCTGATTGAATCAATAAAATAAATTTGCGCATTCATTAAATTTTTTGAGTCACCCTGTATATCCGAATGCAAAAAATATGAATGGGATGATAAATTACAACAAGAGACTCATCATATTTTATACAATTTAGATAGGATTTATTCAGCAAAATGTTGAGGTGACGTTAGAAAAAAAATAATCAAATTCTTTGGCGCATTATTGCCCGAAATAATTGATTTAAGAAGAAAGAGGAACCTACCTTTGCGAGAGATTTTTTTAAAATAAATAAAATTTGTTTCTATTTTTTTATGTACTTTAATAATTTATTAGGAGTACATTTTTCATCACCAAGACTTGCATATTTTTATTATAAATATATTTTGAAACTGATCTCTCGGCAAATGAAAACATATACGAGCACTTTTTTCGAGTAAACAATGAAGGGAGAAGTTACTGGACGTAGGGCTTTTTTAAAACACCTCCTTTCTGGGATAAGTAGTAGATACACTTAGCTACTTATACGTGTTAAACAAAAGCTGTATTTTATATATTTTTTATTATTATTATAAATATGTTTATTAGTTTTATTAATTAACAAAGCAAAATATATATTAACAATAATATTACAATGAATTTTTAGTAATCATGTGTATTCAATTCAGGATCCTGGGTGGAGTAAAAATATTATAGTTCCCCAGTTTTAATTCGGTTTTATGATAGTACCTCATTGCGTAAAAGTTAATTTCCTTAGCAATAGATTACTACGGCCGGTCCTGGCGGCTTGTTATAAAACTGAGTTCCTTGCCATAAATTAGAAAAATCAGCCGAGAACTCTAACAATCAGCTTATGGTAGAGCAGGCGATAAGGGTTTTACCTGGAAAGTCGCTTCCGTAAATTTTAGTGGCGCTCCTATCGGCAAAGTACTGAACTAACTGCTCAAATTCTGTCGAATTGATACCCATTTTTTTCAATAATTGTTAGTTTTTGTTAAAAACTCTGCTAACCAATAGATCATTAATTTTCCTCTGATATTCCTGTTAAAATTATTCGACGTATTTTGCATTAATTTGTGGTATATTTTGATTTTAATAAACGCATTATTATTTAAACAAATTGTACCACTAGCAAACATTTAATGACTCTGCGCCCTGTAAAAAGTGATGTTTTATCCATGTGCGAATTTTCAATTGATTCTATGATGGTTATGACTCAAAAAACTTGAAAAGAAAACATACAATGGGCTTTTTTTACGATATTTCTCAGCCATATTTTTTTAGTTGATTGAACTGGTCTCTGCGCTCTAGAATATGAAAAAAGCTGCAGTTTGATGTATGTTACATCTATATTAATATCATTTTTTCATACAAAAAACCAAAAAAATAGTATCCCTCGTCTAGCGAATCCCCTTAAAAGTTTCCATTAGAAAAATTTTAAGGTAGGTAGTTGCCGGAAAATGCCGAAAAAGAACATCTGGTTAAAAGCTTTAATTCATTATCAACGGAAGTAAGGATTTAAAGTCATAAAATCTATGGAGTATTTTTCCAATCATATAATAAAATTTTATTACTCAAGACCCTTTCTGTGAATAAGTGTATGTACTTCAATGGTCAAGTCCAGGTAAAATGCATACGATACGATACGTCTAACTAACAAGTATTTGTCATCCCGACAAGGTCGGCATTTGAACAAAATATGCATTAAAACTCATATTCGTCGAAAAAAGCATTAAATAAGCATATAAGTTTTAATATGCATAAAATTGGAAAAAAAGCAAATAAGCATAAAAAAAATGTGTCAAATGACTCCAAATATGAAAGTTACAGATATAAAAAAGTTTTTCACAAACAGCATTAAACCTAGAAATCCGCTCTCTAGTGATAAACAACTAACACGAATATGATTTTTTCAGTCAATTGATTTTGATTTCTTGGCCGAAGATGTTTTGGGGTTGGATCTGGACGCGCTTGAGCGTGGTGGTGGAGGCGATGACGACGACGACGACGTACCTTATTATTATTACAGTAACTGAATAAATATGTGTCGAATTGAAAAATTTTAAACCACACTACAAATTTTCTAAATTTTCTGAACAATGCACAGGACGTAATCACAACAATTACCTCGTTTCCGGTAATTATTGTCTTCACATTTTTGCGATTGACAATTAGATTTTTCGCAAATAATTACCCACATTTTAAGTGTTATTTAACGAGGACGTGTTTTCACCGACAATAAACGCGTTTGACATTGGAGGTATTGCATTATTCTGCGGCGATTACGAACACACGTACCAAAGCAATTTTGGTACCCTCGGAGTTATTCGAGGTCTTTTATTTTTTGCATAATCTTCGTTGATCGATCGTTGTGTGTAAATTAGCCTGTAATTTAGATAATTGTTGTTGTTTAAAGTGCTAGACATCGTAAAAATATTTGAATGAGTGCGTCGGTTTGATTGTACGTGTGATGGTTTGGGTTTGATCAGGTTTTAGATAAACAATAAACGTTTTTGAATGTTTATGCAAATTTATTGTTGTTCATGAAAAAAAACGTGTTAAGGTGGAGTTCGCTTCTCACATTAACGACGTTTTCATTTATGCGATTATGGCCGATTATTATAGCTTTAATTATTGAGAATCGAGAAAATATGCATATTTTATGCAATTATTTAAACAAGTCGTGATTTTAAAAGTGACGACATTGGTGTATACAAAGTGGTGGCTTTGTGTTTTCTCACTATTGTGATTTCAGAAACTACAAAGATATGAAATCGGTAAAACAACAAAAAATAGCGCTGTTTTGTGTTAATTACTGCCAAGAAAATTGAGATAAATAGTGTCGCTGTTGAAATTAAAAGAAATTACATTTGTTTTACTGTTTTTATTTATTTTTGTACTGGTAGCTTGGAATTTTATCTATTTAGCATAAGTTTGTGAAAAAAAAAAAAATGAAAACGGATTCCTAAACCACCCGTACAAGAACGTGTACTATTTTATAAAATATTATTTAATCAAATTTTGCAACAATCGGTACGGTGGTTTCAGCAGATAGAGACACAATCAGACAGACAGACATATGGAAACGGGAAATCTACTTTTTCGTACTTTTGGGCTCATGAAACTTGGAGAAAACATGAAAGTAGCCATTCGCTGGATGGACCCTATTAAAATCTTCTTTAACTTACGCTCAGGAAGTTAAAATTGATTGATTTATTTAAAATTTTTATAACTAAAACCCTTTGAAAAAAAATCCCTAACTTAAAAAAAAATGAATCGCAATCACCGAAATAGTTATTTACTGAGTTAATCAAAAATGTACAAGGTGATTCACTAAATGCATGGTCTTTGATAATTCATTAATTATTATTATTATAGATAGAAAAAAACAAAGAATAAAGTAGTGCGATTCTTTTCGAAAAATCGAAAAACTGAAAATTTGAAAAATCGAAATCCGAAAAGTTGAAAAATTAAAAAAAAAAATGGAAAAATGGAGAAATTGAAAATTCGAGAAATTGAGAAATTCCCAAAACTGAAAAATCGAAAAATCTGAACAAAAAAAAAGTCGAAAAATTTAAAAAACTGAAAACCGAGACGGCTAAAATTTAAAAAATCGAAAAATTGAAGAATCGAAAACTGAAAAATCGAGAAATTGAAACATTCCCAAACTTAAATGTCGGAAATTTTAAAAAACGAAAATTGGAAAATCGAAACCCGATAAACTGAGAAATCGTCAAAACTCAAAATAGAAAAATTTAAACTTAAAAAATTGATAAATCGAAAAATCGAAAACTGAAAAAGTGAAACTTCGAAATCTCGGTAAATGGAGAAATCGAAAAATTGAAAAATCGAAAAATTCAAAAACCAATAAATTGAAAAACCAAAAAATTGAAAAACCAAAAATCTGAAAGAGGGAGTCAAAAATTCGAAAGATCGAGAAATCGAGTTATCAAAAACGAAAAATCTAAAATTTAAAAATTGAAAAATTGGAAAATTGAAAAATCGAAAAAGTAAAAAGTGAAAAAACCGAAAAATCGAAAAACTGAACAATTGAAAAATACAAAAACCAATAAATCGAAAAATCAAAAATTTGAAAATCGAAAAATTGAAAAACAAAAAATCTAAAAACGGAAGTCAAAAATTCGAAAGATCGAGAAATCGAGTTAAAAATCTAAAATTTAAAAATTGAAAAATTGAAAAATCGAAAAGTAAAAAGTCAAAAAACCGAAAAATCGAAACACTGAAAAATCGAAAACTACAAAAGCTAATAAATTGAAAAACTGAAAAACCGAAAAATCTAAAAACCGAAGTCAAAAATTCGAAAGATTGAGAAATCGAGTTATCAAAAAAGTGAAAAATCTAAAATTTAAAAACCGAAACATTGAAAAACTGAAATTTCGAAATATTGAAAAATCACAAAAATTGAAGCATCCCAAAACTGAAACATCAAAAATTTGAGAAATCGAAAAACTGAGAAAGCAAAAAATTGAAAAACCGAAAAAATCAAAAAGTCGAAAAGCCCAAAAATTGAAAAATTGGTTAACCGCGAAATTAAGAGATCGAAAAAACGAAAATTTAGAAACGCCATTAATTGAAAAATTGAAAAATTTAATCATCGTAAAACTGAAATATCGGAAAATTGAAAAATCCCAAAATAAAAAAACAGAAATCGAAAATTCGAAAAATCAACAATTTGAAGAATCGATGAATTGAAAAATACCCAAATTGAAATATAAAAAAAAATGAGTAATCGAAAAATTGAGAATTGAAATGTTGAAAAATTGAGAATTGAAATGTTGAAAAATTGAGAAATTGAAAACCTGAAAAATCGTAAAATCGGAAATTGAAAAAGCCCCACAAACAAAAAATTAGAAAATCGAAAAATCGAAACCCGATAAATTGGGAATTCGAAACTGAATAAATGAAACACCGAAAAATCAAAACATCAAAAATATCGACAAATCGAGAAGTCGAAAAATCAAAAAATTGAGAAATCAAAAACACAAAATTGAAAAATTGAACCCTAAAAAACTGATAAATCAAGAAATTGAAAAACTGAAACATCGAAATCTCGAAGAAGAAATAGCGAAGTCGAAAAATTGAAAAATCGAAAAACTGTAAAACCGAAAAATCGAAATTTTTAAAATCGAAAAATTGAAACACCAAAAAATCCAAAAACAGGAGTCGAAAATTCGAAAGATCGAGAAATCGAATCATCGAAAAGTGAAAAATCTAAAATTTAAAAATTGACCAATCCAAAAATCGAAAAAGTAGAAACTTAAAACACCGAAAAATCGAAAAACTGAAAAATCGATTAATCGAGCAAACGAAAATTTGGAAACGCCAATCATCAAAAATTGAAAAGTCGAAAAATTGAAAAATCTAGGAATCGGAAAGTCGAAAAATCAAAAATTCGAAAAACCGAGAAATCGAAAAGTCGAAAAATTAAAAAAACGATTAATTCAGAAATTGGGAAACTGAAAAAACGAAAATTTGGAAACGCTAAACATTAAAAAATTGAAAATCGAAAAATTTAAAAATTGAAGAATAGAAAAATTCAAGAATCGAAAAATTAAAAAACTAAAAATCTAAAAGCGGGAGTCGAAAATTCAAAAGAAAAATCGAATCATCAAAAAATTGAAAAACTGAAATATTGAAGAATAAATAAATCGAAAATTTAAAATATTCAAAAAGTAGAAAATCAAAAAAAAAAAACGAAAAATCGAAAAACTGAAGAAACGAAATATTGAAAAATCGAAAAGTCGAAAAATCGGAAAGTCGGATAATCTAGAAATCAATGTCAAAAAATCGATTAATCGAGCAATTGAGAAACTGGAAAAATGAAAATTTAGAAACGCCAAATATTAAAAAATTGAAAAATCGAAAAATTTTAAAATTGAAGAATAGAAAAATTAAAAAACTGTAAAACCTAAAAGCGGGAGTCGAAAGAATGAAAAATCGAAAAGTCGAAAAATTAAACAATTGATTATTCCAAAAATTGGGAAACTAAAAAAATGTAAATTTAGAAACGCCAAATATTAAAAAATTGAAAAATCGAAAAATTTAAAAACTGAAGAATAGAAAAATTGAAGAATGGAAAAATTAAAAAAACTGAAAAATCTAAAAGCGGGAGTCGAAAATTCTAAAGAAAAATCGAATCATCAAAAAATTGAAAAACTGAAATATTGAAGAATAAATAAATCGAAAATTTAAAATATTTAAAAAGTAGAAAATAAAAAAACAACGAAAAATCGAAAACTGAAGAAACGAAATATTGAAAAATCGAAAAGTCGAAAAATCGGAAAGTCGGATAATTTAGAAATCAAAGTCGAAATATCAAAAAATCGATTAATCGAGCAATTGAGAAACTGGAAAAATGAAAATTTAGAAACGCCAAAAATTGAAAAAGTTACTAAGATTAAAAATTGAAGAATCGAAAAATTGAAGAACCGAAAATTTGAAGAATCGAAAAGTTGAAGAATCGAAAAATCAAAAAACCCAAAAATCGAGAAACTGAAAATCGAAAAATCGGAAAAACGAAAATTTAGAAATGCCAAAAATTAAAAAATTAAAAAATTGAAAAACTGAAAAATTGAAAAAACAATAAATCGAAAATTTAAAAAGTCTAAAAAGTACTAAATCAAAAAAAAACGAAAAATCGAAAAACTGAAAAAACGAAATATTGCAAAATCGAAAAATCGGAAAGTCGAATAATCTAGAAATCAAAGTCGAAATATCAAAAAATCAATTAATTGAGCAATTGAGAAATCGAAAATTTGAAGAATCGAAAAATTGAAGAATCAAGATATTGAAAAACCGAAAAATCTAAAAGCGGGAGTCGAAAATTCGACAGATCGAGAAATCGAATCATCAAAAAATTGAAAAACTGAAAAATTGAAAAATCGGAAAATCGAAAACTCTAGAAATCAAATTCGAAATATCAAAAAAACGATTAATCGAGCAATTAAGAAATCGAAAAATCGAAAATTTATAAACACCAAAAATTGAAAAAGTTACTAAGATTTAAAAATTGAAGAATCGAAAAATTGAAGAACCGAAAATTTGAAGGATCGAAAAGTTGAAAAATCGAAAAACTGAAGAATCAAGAAATTGAAAAACCGAAAAATCTAAAAGCGGGAATCGAAAATTCGAAAGATCGAGAAATCGAATCATCCAAAAAGTGAAAAATCTAAAATTTTACAAATCAAGGAATCAGAAAATTGAAAAAAATTGAAGAATAAAAAACTGAAAAATTGAAAGAATAAAAAATCAAAAAACCGAAAAATCTAGAAACTGAAAATCGAAAAATGGGAAAGTCAAAAAGTCGAAAAATTAAAAAATCGATTAATCGAGAAATCGGAAAAACGAAAATTTAGAAATGCCAAAAATTAAAAAATTAAAAAATCCAAAAATTGAAAAATCGTAAATCAATCGAGAAATCTAAACTTGGAAAAATAAAAAAAAATCTCGATGTCTAGGATAAATATTCAATACAGATTCATAAACCACAACTTTAGGACGATGTTACTTTTTAACACTGAAAAACATTTGACCTTGGAAAATCTGTATGCCAAGGGTAAAAAATTAAGGCGGATTCATAAACCACAAATATAGCAGAAATTCGGTCCATAATCACAAAAAAGTGGAAAATAGCAGCTACTTTAGACAAACAAATGTTAGCCTCTCTGTACGAAACAACGTTGTTTACTAACAGATGAATAAAATTTGCATTAATTGTATGACTCAGAGTGGATGTAAAATAGTGTCTTGCAGAATAATAGTTGGATAATAACACTTGAAGCTGTTGTGTAATAATATAAAATTACTCTGTATCTCGCATCTCTTGCGTATAAGGAAGTCTACCACCATGAGAACCGAGAAATTAAAAAACTAATAATTTTGGTATTACAAACACAGAAAAGTAAATCTTTGAACCAAAACTGAAACTGTTACTTTTGATCTGAAAATCAATGAGTGTTTCAAATGAGTGAAATTTTCATCCTTAAATAGAAGTGCATGTATTATCATCACAACTCTCTCTAATAAAAATAGTTGCTATTCAAATATTGAAATCCCTCGCGCACTCATAAATCTAATACAAACTCATATTCACTAACCATGACATTGAGCTATTAATTCAGAATTTCGTTTGGGTGAAAGTCATACAAGGTTACGCACAATTAAAACTTTCCTAGTGTTATTAAACGAAAATTTCTTTGAGATACCGAATACCCAAGCACCGTAAAACAATACGATTATACAAAAAAAATTACTCGAATAAACACACCTCTACATGAACATATGTAGTTTTTTTAATATGATTTACCGTTCTGTTGTCCCCTTTGAAATAAAAGTAATTTTCTTTAAAACCCCCAGGGCTTTAGAGAAATTTCAACAATCATCATTATCAAGCCAGCAGTGCTCGTTCGGAGGTGGGATCTGTCTTCGAATAGCTCGCAGCTTTCTCCACGGTTCACTATCAGAACGCCTGTAGCCACTCGTTCATTAGTATCGCCGCTGTTGTTTTTAATAATTCGCCGGTAAAATGCAGAAACACTTGCACTTCCCTATGGAAAGTGAAGGGAGATAAAGTGTGCCGTTACCTAAACAGAACTGAACTGAGTGCAGTGTTTGTGTATCGCCACCCTAGAGACTGGTAAGTCGTCCAAGAGTTCTCAATTAGGCACAAATCGGGAGGACGCGCGGGCTTTTAGTATTTTTGTTCGGGGAAGACTAACTTTGCCATGATCCAGTTCTACACTCAAGAACATGTGTTGCAAAAAATCCATAAATCTTTATTTGAGCGGCAATGGGTTTCCTTATTAGTCGCGGAGGTGTGCTGTAAACAAACGTATTTGTTAGATGAAGAGGCTCGTGATTGTGGAAAACGGGATATGTAAATTGTAACGCGACGCACTGGAAAGGAAAATATTGAAAGACGCGCATTTTGATAAATTTTGTTGTTTTTGAGTTGACGATGACGTCAGTCTTTTGTAAGGGGGTTGAACGAATAATTTTAGTTTTTTACTGCGCGAGCCAAGTTTATGTTTCCTCAATGTTTGTTAGGTCGTCACTTTCATTTTTCAATTTTTCCATTTTTCGAAAATTAAAAAATGGAAAAATTGAAAAACCGAAAAATCTAAAAGCGGGAGTCGAAAATTTCCAAAGATCGAAAAATCGAATCATCAAAAAAGTGCAAAATCTAAAATTTAAAAATTGAGAAATCAAAAAGTTGAACAATCGAGAAATCAAAAAATTGAAAAATCAATAAATCGAAAATTTGAAAAATCGAAAGACTAAAAGATAAAAAGTCCGATAAATTAAAAAACTGAGAAATTGAAATATTCAAAAATCGAAAAATCGGAAAATTGAAAAATCGAGAAATCGAGAAATCGGAAAGTCGAAAAATCTAGAAATCAAAGTCGAAATATCAAAAAATCGATTAATCGAGAACTTGAGAAATCGAAATATTTAGAAACACCAAAAACTGAAAAATTGAAAGAACTAAAAATTTAAAAATCGAAGAATAGAAAAATTGGAAAACCCAAAAATCTAAAAGCGGGAATCGAAAATTCGAAAGATCGAGAAAGTGAATCATCAAAAAAGTGACATTTTTAGATTTTTCAGTTTTCATTTTATACTTTTTCATTTTTTCACATTCGATTTTTCAATTTCACAATTTTGCAATTTTTCCATTTTTTTTAATTCAAAAAGGTGAAACATCGAAAAATTAAAAATCGAAAACTGCAAACCGAAGAACTGAAGAAACGACAAATTAAAAAATGGAAAAATTCTAAAATCGTAAAATTGAAAAAGTGAAAAATCTTACAAATTATGTACAATTATTTTTACATTTCTAAAATGAAAACCCACAAATTTTAAAAATTCACATTGAAAAAGATAAAAATTATAATAAAATCAGAACATTGAAAAATCGAAAAATTTAAAGAATAAAAAATTATGAAATTGAAACTTTGAACAATTAAAAAATTCAAAAATTGGATTTCACATTCGATTTTTCAATTTCACAATTTTGCAATTTTTCCATTTTTTTTTATTCAAAAAGTCGAAACATCGAAAAATTAAAAATCGAAAAACTGCAAATCGAAGAACTGAAGAAACGAAAAATTAAAAAATGGAAATTTTCTAAAATCGTAAAATTGAGAAAGTGACAAATCTTACAAATTAAAATTGTTTTTACATTTTTGAAATGAAAACTCACAAATTTTAAAAATTCATATTGAAAAAAATAAAAATTATAATAAAAGAACATTGAAAAAGCGAAAAATTTAAAGAATAAAAATTGAAAAATCGCAAAAAATATGAAATTGAAACTTTGAACAATTAAAAATTGAAAACTGGAGAAACTCAAATCGAAAAATTACAAAATCTAAAATTTGAAAAATTCAAAAATTGGAAAATTGATAACTAAGAAACAAAAAAAATAAATTGAAGAATGCAAAATTCAAGTCAAAAAACTGCAGAAGTGTCATTTACGCGTTGTAGAGTATATTAGAAAACAAAAATCGTAATTTTTTTTTTAATAATTTTTCAAAGAAGCGGGTTTTTTGGGCTTTATTTCAGGAGTGAGGGAAGTTCTATCGAAATAATTCAACCAATTTTTTTTATAAATTTTGGTTAGCATTGTTGTTCTTTAAAGGTCTCGAAAAATCAAAAATTAAACAAAATCGAACAATTAAAGTATCGAAAAATTAAAAAATCGTGAAATCGAAACATCAAAAAATCGAAAAATAAAAAATTTGAAAAATCTAAAAAATCGAAAAATTTTGGAAAATGCAAAAAGTAAAAAATCAAAAACATCGAAAACTTGAGAAATCGAGAAATCGGAAAGTCGGAAAATCGAAAAATCTAAGTCGAAAAATCCATTAATAGAGAAATTGAGTAATCAGAAATCGAAAATTTAGAAACGCCAAAAATTCAAAAATTGAAAAATATCGAAAACTTGAGAAATTAAAAATCGAAAATTTAGAAACTCCAAAAATTCAAAAATTGAAGACGTAACATTTAAAATTTAAAAAAATTGAAAAATTTTGAAAAATGGAAAAAGTAAAAAATAAAAAAATAGAAACAGTGAAAAATTCCAAAATTGAAAATCATCGAAAAATTGAAAAATCCAGAAATCGAAAAGTCGGAAAATCGAGAAATCGAAGTCGAAAAATTTTAAGATTGAAGAATGGAAAAACTGAAGAACCGAAAAATTGAAGATTTGAAAATTTGCAGAATCGAAAAATCTAAAAGTAAAAATCCAAAACTGGAAAAATAGAGAAACTGAAGTATCGACAAATCCCAAAACTGAAATATGTATTGAAAAATTGAGTAATCAAAAAATTGAAAATCGAGAAATCGAAAAAGTGAAAATTGAAACACTTCGAAATCTTGATAAATCGGAAAACTGAAAAATCGAAAAATCAGACAGTCGGAAAATCAAGAAATCGAAGTCCACAAATCGGAAAATCGAGAAATTGAGAAAACGAAAAATTGAAAATTTAAAATCGCCAAAAATTGAAAAATTGAAATAGAAAAATTTTTAAAATAAAAAATTGAAGAGTCCAAAAATTAAAGAGTCGAAAAATTGAAGAATCGAAAAATTGAACAGTCGAAAAATTAAAGGGTCGAAAAATTGAAGAACCGAAAAAATGAAGAATCGAAAATTTGAAGAATGGAAAAACTGAAAAATCCTAAAACTGAAAAATCGGAAATTTGAGAAATTTAAAAGTAAAAACCCAAATTCGAGAAATCGGAAAAGTGAAAATTGAAAACATCTAAAATTCGAGAAATCAAAAAATTGAAAAATCGAGAAATCGGAAAGTCGGAAAATCGAAAAATCTAAGTCGAAAAATCCATTAACAGAGAAATTGAGAAACCAAAAATCGAAAATTTAAAAACGCCAAAAATTCAAAAATTTAAGACCTAACATTTAAAATTTAAAAAAATCAAACATTTTTTAAAAATGGAAAAAGTAAAAAATAAAAAAATAAATAGTGAAATAGTGAAAAATTCCAAAATTAAAAATCATCGAAAATTTGAAAAATCCAGAAATCGAAAAGTCGGAAAATCTAGAACTCGAAGTCGAAAAATTTTAAAATTGAAGAATCGAAAAATTGAAGAACCGAAAAATTGAAAAATCGAAAATTTGAGAAATCTAAAACTAAAAATCCAAAACTGGAAAAATTGAGAAATTGAGTAACGGCAAATCCCAAAACTGAAATATTGAAAAACTGAGTAATCGAAAAATTGAAAATCAAGAAATTGAAAAAGTGAGAATTGAAACACATCGAAATCTTGAGAAATCGAAAAAATGAAAAATCGAGAAATCAGAAAGTCGGAAAATCAAGAAATCGAAGTCGAAAAATCGGAAAATCGAGAAATTTAGATTCGCCAAAAATTAAAAAATTGAAATCGAAAAATTTTAAAATTAAAAAATCGAAGAGTCGAAAAATTAGAGTCGAAAAATTGAAGAATCGAAAATTTGAAGAATGGGAAAACTGAAAAATCCTAAAACTGAAAAATTGGAAAATTGGGAAATTTAAAAGTAAAAACCCAAATTCGACAAATCGGAAAAATGATAATTGAAAACCTCTAAAACTTGAGAAATCGAAAAACTGAAAAATCGAGAAATCAAAATCGAAAAATCGAAAAATCCATTAATCGAGAAATTGAGAAATCGAAAATTTAGAAACGCCAAAAATTCAAGAATTGAAGAATCGAAAAATCGAAGAATAGAAAAATTGAAGAATGGAAAAATTGGAAATCGACAAATCTGAAAAGTGAAAATTGAAAAATATCGAAAACTTGAGAAATTAAAAATCGAAAATTTAGAAACTCCAAAAATTCAAAAATTGAAGACCTAACATTTAAAATTAAAAAAAATCGAAAAATTTTGAAAAATGGCAAAAGTAAAAAATCAAAAAATTAAAAAATAGAAATAGTGAAAAATTCCAAAATTGAAAATCATCGAAAAATTGCAAATCTAGAAATCGAAAAGTCGGAAAATCTAGAACTCGAAGTCGAAAAATTTTAAAATTGAAGAATCGAAAAATTGAAAAATCGAAAATTTGAGAAATCTAAAAGTAAAAATCCAAAACTGGAAAAATTGAGAAATTGAGTAACGACAAATCCCAAAACTGAAATATTGAAAAATTGAGTAATCGAAAAATTGAAAATCGAGAAATCGAAAAAGTGAAAATTGAAACACATCGAAATCTTGAGAAATCGAAACATTGAAAAATCGAGAAATCCGAAAGTCGGAAAATTAAGAAATCCAAGTCGAAAAATCGGAAAATCGAGAAATTTCGAATCGCCAAAAATTGAAAAATTGAAATCGAAAAATTTTAAAATTAAAAAATCGAAGACTCGAAAAATTGAAGAATCGAAAATTTGAAGAGTGGAAAAACTGAAAAATCCTAAAACTGAAAAATCGGAAAATTGGGAAATTTAAAAGTAAAAACCCAAATTCGAGAAATCGGAAAAGTGAAAATTGAAAACATCTAAAACTTGAGAAATCGAAAAATTGAAAACTCCAGAAATCAAAGTCTAAAAATCCATTAATCGAGAAATTGAGAAATCGAAAATTTAGAAACGCCAAAAATTGAACAATTGAAGAATCGAAAAATTGAAGAACCGAAAAATTAAAGAATCGAAAAATTGAAGAATGGAAATTATGAAGAATCGAAAAATTAAAGAATCGAAAAATTGAAGAATCGAAAAAATGGAAAAATTTCACAATGAAAAAAGATAATTTATACAATCAGGACATTGAAAAAACGAAAAATTGAGAAAACAAAGAAAATAAAAATGGCAAATCGAAAATTGTAGAAATGAAAAATTACAATTTTACAATTTTTCCATTTTTTAGAAAATTAACGATTCGAAAAACTGGTAAGGAAAAACTAATCGAACCGAAAAATTGGAAAACCCAAAAATTTATAGAATCGTCAATTATTTAGATCAGCAGATAATTAGAAATTTTGACGATTCTATAAATTTTCGATTTTACAATTTTCGGGTTTTCCTATTTTTGGATCCGATTCGTTTTTTCTTTTTCCCAATTTTTGGAATCATTAATTTTTTTAGTTTTTCGATTTTTAATTTTTTGATTTTTCAACTTTTCGAATTAAAAAAATGGAAAAATTGTAAAATTGTTTTATAGAATCGTCAAAATTGTAAGGTCGAAAAACTACACATTGAAAGATCGAAAAATTGGAAAATTGAAAAATCTTAAAAATTACAGTTATTATTACATTTTTAAAATGAAAACTAGAAAAAATATACGAAAATTGCAAATCACAAATTAATGAAACGAAAAATTGAAAAATCGAGAAACTGAAAAATCTAAAATTGAAAAAACCAAAAATTAAAAGATCTAAAAGTTGAAAAATCGAAAAAATGAAACATCCAAAGATTAAAAAATTTCACATTGCAAAAAGAAAAATTATAAAATCAGGACATTGAAAAACCGAAAATTTTAAAGTATAACGTAAATTAAGAACCGAAATGAAAAATTATAGAATCGTCAAAATTGTGAAGTTGAAAAACTGCGAAATTGAAAGAACGAAAAAAATAAAAAAACAGAAAAAAAAAACAATGAATCGAAACGTGCTAAAACATTATAGAAAATTTGACTTTTAGAAAATCATTCTGAAATAATTGAACCTCGTGTTTACACCTGCACTACGACTTTACATTGTTATCCCGTACTCTAAAAAAACAACAAAGTGTGAACTACATATTTCCCAACCTCTCCTTTACATAATTTCTGCGCAACAACTCGTAAACACATCCGTTACTCTCTTAGAATTGAGCACACACTCCAACATTTTATTCCAAATAAGTACGGACTTCGCACATTAACATCAGTTAATAGTCTCCGCACGTCCTCAACGACGTAAAGCGTCCTTCCAGCAGGATGTATAGTCAGTATCATTTTTCACTTCCAGACGAATCGCATCGATAATGCCAGTGGACGACATTTACTGGAATTCTATCGATTTTGGCAGCGAAGAGGAGTCCGTCCACGATTCGCCCTCGATGAAGCACTACGTGGACCCGTGGGACTTGGAGAACTATGCCTACATTCGGGAGCACCTGGACTCCGTAGACATAAGTTCTGATCCTAGTTCCGACGATTTCGCTCATTCGACGTCTTTTTCGTACGTACCGGTGCAAAGAGAGCAGAATTATGCGGCGATTGACGAGATTAGGGGGTATAGTAAACCGAGAGCGAGGAGGATGCATAGTGATGGAGGGATGTATAGCGATGGAAGGATGTATAGGGATAGCTATGAGCCGGGTGAGTTTGAATGGGAGTTTTGATTGTGTAATTAGTCGCAGTGTGGTTAAAATTTACCTTGAGAGTAATTAATATTTATTATTATGGTAATGTCTGGCATTACTTCTAGTTTTCTAATTTGCATGTATTGTTCAGGTGATGTGAGTTGGCGGTGCGTAAAACTAGCTTTATGAGAGAGGTACTAAAATTTCGGGAATTCACAGCACTTTGAATAAATTGGCAACATCATCGCTAAATTTCTTATAAAAAGTTCATTGCTTACGGACATAATTTGTTAACTAAACGTGAACTCGACTGTGCGTATTTATTTATAATTAGCGGAGTGAAAAGCGAAGCTTTATGCCAGAAATTTCTCGACGGAGTTGCTAATTCCTTAAAACTACTTTGAATTCGTGCAGAGGTTAACGCATGATTGATAATAATATACGGCAATATTGATTTCAACGTTTAGTTTTTGTTGATTTTTTGAAATATTCATTTTTTTCTGTTATCTGCGCAAAATATTTAAAATAATTAAAATTAACCTTAAAAAAATGGTCGAGGGTTAGCTCGACAGAATGACATATCCTCTAAAAGAACCCTTTACAGTTTTGACGATTCTATAAATTTTCGATTTTACAATTTTCGGGTGTTCCAATTCTTGGATTCGATTCGTTTTTTCTTCCCAGTTTTTCGAATTATTAATTTTGTACGATTTTTTAGTTTTTCGATTTTTTAGTGTTTCGATTTATATTTTTTCAACTCAAAAAATGGAAAAATTGCAAAATTGTAAAATTGTAACTTTTCATTTCTTCAGTTTTCGATTTGCGATTTTTCGTTTCGGATTTTTATTTTCTTTATTTTCTCAATTTTTCGTGTTTTCAATGTTCTGATTGTATGTACAATTTTTTTTTTATTATTTTGAAAGTTTCCATTGTTTGGATTTCTCAATTTTCCATTTTTTTTTGTTTGTTCAGTTTTAGGTTATGCAATTTTTCGATTTAAATTTCTCGAGTTTTTAGTTTTTATTTTTTTAAATTTTTGATTTCAAAATTTATCGTTTCTTCAAATTTTCGATTTGCAATTTTTCGTTTCGGTTTTTTATTTTAGTTATTCTTTAAATTTTTCGGTTTTTCAATGTTCTGATTTTATAATTTTTCATTTTTTCAATGTGATTTTTTTTAATTTTTGGATTTTCATTTTGTAACTGTAATAACAGTTGTAATTTTTAAGGTTTCACTTTTTCAATTTTACGATTTTACCATTTTTCCCTTTTTAATTACAGAATTTTAAAACTTTTTCATTTATTCGAAAATTTTAGACTGCACTTTTTAACAAAAAAGCGCAGTCCAAAAAATCGAAAAATTGGAGAATCGGAAAATTGAAGATTCGAAAATTTGAAGAATCGAAAAATTGAAAAATCATAAAAATATCAGTAAATTGAGAAATCTAAAAATCCTAAATTCGAAAAATCGGGAAATTGAAATATCGACAAACCCCCAAACTGAAATATTGAAAAATTGAGTGATCGAAAAATTGAGAAATCAAAGTCGATAAATCAAAAAACTGAAAAATTGAAAAATTGAAAATTTAGAAGCACCATAAATTGCAAATTCGAAAAATTAAAAATTTTAAGAATCGAAAAATTGAATAATCGAAAAATTGAAGAATAGAAAAATTGAGGAATCGAAAACTTGAAGAATCGAAAAACTGGAAAATCAAAAAATTGAAGAATCGAAAAATTGAAATCTCGAAAATTTGAAGAATCGGAGAATTGAATATTGGAAAATTTGAAGAATCGAGAAGTTGAAAAATTGAAAAATCTAAAAATTGAAGAATCGGAAAATTGAAGAATCGAAAATTTGAAGAATCGAAAAATTGAAAAATCGTAAAAATGAAATGTCGGAAAATTGAGAAATCTAAAAATCCAAAATTCGAAAAACAGAGAAATTGACGTATCGATAAACCGCCACTGAAATATTGAAAAATTTAGTGATAGAAAAATTGAAAAATCGAGAAATCGAAAAAGTAAAAACCGAAAAATTGCTATTAATTTTTTTTACAAAAATCTCGAGTCGAAACACCGAAAAACTGAAAAATCGAAATACTGAAAAATCCCAGAATTGAAAAACATCGAACACAAAAAATCGAAAATATGAAAGAACTAGAAATCGAGAAGTCGGAAAATCGAGAAATCAAAGTCGAAAAACCAAGAAACTGAGAAATTGAAAAATTGAAAATTTAGAAACACCATAAATTGGAAATTCGAAAAATTTTAAAATTTAAGAATCGAAAAATTGAATAATCAAAAAATTGAAAAATCGAAAAATTGAGGAATCGAAAACTTGAAGAATCGCAAAACTGGAAAATCAAAAAACTGAAGAATCGAAAAATTGAAATAACGAAAATTTGAAGAATCGGAGAATTGAATATTCGAAAATTTGAAGAATCGAATAATTGAAGAATCGGAAAATTGAATAATCGAAAATTTGAAGAATCGAAAAATTGAAAAATCATAAAAATAAAATATCAGAAAATTGAGAAATCTAAAAATCCAATATTCGAAAAATCGAAAAAGTAAAAACCGAAAACTTGTTATTATTTTTTTTTTCCAAAAATCTCGAGTCGAAACACCAAAAAACTGAAAAATCGAAATAGTGAAAAATCCCAGAATTGAAAAACATCGAAAACTCAAAAAATCGAAAATATGAGAGATCTAGAAATCGGAAAGTCGGAAAATCGAGAAATCGAAGTCGAAAAATAAAAAAATTGAAAAATTGAAAATTTATAAAACACTATAAATTGGAAATTCGAAAAATTAAAAAATTTAAGAATCGAAAAATTGAATAATCGAAAAATTGAGGAATCGAAAAATTGAAATCTCGAAAGTTTGAAGAATCAGAATTGAATATTCGAAAATTTGAAGAATCGAATAATTGAATAATCGAGAAGTTGAAAAATTGAAAAATCTAAAAATTGAAGAATCGGAAAATTGAAGAATGGAAAATTTGAACAATTGGAAAGTTGAAAAATTGAAAAATCGAAAAATTGAATAATCGAAAATTTGAAGAATCGAAAATTTGAAAAATCGTAAAAATGAAATGTCGGAAAATTGAGAAATCTAAAAATCCAAAATTCGAAAAATAAACAAATTGACGTATCGATAAACCGCCACTGAAATATTGAAAAATTGAGTGATCGAAAAATTAAAAAATCGAAAAATCGAAAAAGTAAAAACCAAAAAATTGTTATTAATTCTTTTTCCAAAAATTTTGAGTCGAAAAACCGAAAATCTGAAAAATCGAAATACTGAAAAATTCCAGTATTGAAAAACATCGAACACACAAAAAATCGAAAATATGAAAGGACTAGAAATCAGAAAATCAAAAAACTGAGAAATTGAAAAATTGAAAATTTAGAAACACCATAAATTGGAAATTTGAAAAATTAAAAAAATTTAAAATCGAAAAATTGAATAATCGAAGAATCGGGAAATTGATTCGAAAATTTGAAGAATCGAAAAATTGAAAAATTGATGATCGAAAATATGAAAGATCTAGAAGTGGTAAAATCGGAAAATCGAGAAATCGAAGTCGAAAAACCAAAAAACTGAGAAATTGAAAAATAAAAAATTTAGAAATACCATAAATTGGAAATTCGAAAAACTAAAAAATTTAAGAATCGAAAAATTGAATTTCGATTATTCAATTTTTCGAAAATTTGAAGAATTGGAAAATTGAGAAATCTAAAAATCCAAAATTCGAAAAATAGGGAAATTGAAGTATGGATAAACCGCTACTGAAATATTGAAAAATTGAGTGATCGAAAAATTGAAAAATCGAGAAATCGAAAAAGTAAAAACCGAAAAATTTTTATTAATTTATTTTTTCAAAAATCTCGAGTCGAAAAACCGAAAAACTGAAAAATCCCAGAATTGAAATACATTGAAAACTCAAAAAATCGAAAATATGAGAGATCTAGAAATCGGAAAGTCGGAAAATCGAGAAATCGAAGTCGAAAAATCAAAAAACTGAGAAACTGAAAAATTGAAAATTTAGAAACGTCATAAATTGGAAATTCGAAAAATTTTTAAATTTAAGAATCGAAAACTTGAAGAATCGAAAAACTGGAAAGTCGGAAAATCGAGAAATCGAAGTCGAAAAACCAAAAAGCTGAGAAATTGAAAATTTAAAAATACCATAAATTGGAAATTCGAAAATTTTAGAATCGAAAAATTGAATAATCGAAGAATCGGAAAATTGGAGATTCGAAAATTTGAAGAATCGAAAAATTGAAAGATCATAAAAATGAAATATCAGAAAATTAAGAAATCTAAAAATCCAAAATTCGAAAAATCGGGAAATTGAAATATCGACAAACCCCAAACTGAATTATTGAAAAGTTGAAAAATAGAGAAATCGAAAAAGTAAAAACTGAAAAATTATTATTAATTTTTTCCCAAAATCTCGAGTCAAAACACCGAAAAACTGAGAAATCGAAATACTGAAAAATCCCAGAATTGAAAAACATCGAAAACTCAAAAAATCGAAAATATGAAAGATCTAGAAATCGGAAAGTCGGAAAATCGAGAAACTGAGAAATTGAAAAATTGAAAATTTAAAAATACCATAAATTGGAAATTCGAAAAACTAAAAAATTTAAGAATACAAAAATTGAAATCTCGAAAATTTGGATAATCGGAGAATTGAATATTTGAAAATTTGAAGAATCGAATAATTGAAGAATCGAGAAGTTGAAAAATTGAAAAATCTAAAAATTGAAGAATCGAAAAATTGAAAAATCTAAAATTTGAAAAATCGTAAAAATGAAATTTCGGAAAATTGAGAAATCTAAAAATCCAAAATTCGAAAAATAGAGAAATTTAAATATCGATAAACCGCTACTGAAATATTGAAAAATTGAGTAAGCGAAAAATTGAAAAATCGAGAAATCGAAAAAGTAAAAACCGAAAAATTGTTATTAATTCTTTTTCCAAAAATCTCGAGTCCAAAAACCGAAAA